AAAACTATAGTCTTGCTATCACGAAGACATCCAATAAAAGTAAAACAGTCCCAGAAATGTCTCTAACTGCAACCTTACGCCCCAAACATGCTGCCAAGTGAATCATTTGTGCTAAATATATAAACTGAAGTGGATATGCATCCCAATCAGCCAGGAGTCAGTAAGAATACGTTTATTAATTAAGTGCAGCACATTCAGCATTTCAGACAATGCATTTCCATCAAGACAATACAGAGTATTCCATCTGAAATATACTACCACCATGGCCAAAACATATTTAGGTCACTGTGTGAATTACAAAACGTTTGAATTTTTTTTGGGGACTGAATGTGCCTGTGTAAAACAAGTGCCACAAAATTGCTGAAACAAACTAACAGATTTGTATTGACCAGGAAATAATGAAAGATAACTGTTTAAAACGTCTTAAATGCTCAGGTAATACAGACTGTAATAGATTTAGAACACATGGTAGAACAATAACTTGCCATTACCGATGTGTAGTACTGATGATGATGCAAGTTGAAACATTTTACTTTCCAGTCTCTCTCACATTTCTTTCTTGCCTTTTGGCTGCAGACATTTGAGCACATATTTCACGTGAAACAAAATGACAGCAGAACATAAGGTTAAGTTTACAGTTTTCCAATGAAATATCTAAAAACATCTAAATCAGGGCTACAGACTGCGCTTCTCTTTATTAAGATCTTTTGAAAAAAAAAAAAAAAAAAAAAAAGTTTAACTAAGTTTCACCATTATTAATAAAATGAATGTTAAAACTGGTTTGCAAAAACAAATGAGGGAGGTGTGGCAGTAGACTTAAACTCATCCTAATGTAGGTGGAAAACTGAGCTGACAAGTGCTACAATAACAACATGTAGCAATTATTAAACGGTGTATATAAAACAAACGTCCCCCGCCAGCCCAGCTCTACTCTGCCTTTTTACATTTCTATTAACAATGGTTGACATTTACTTTTCTAACAAAAGAAAAAAAAAAAAAAAAAAACAACTCTTGATTCAACAAGAAAAACAAAAAAATGTTGTAAAAGTTGCTAATTATAAAAGTCCTAAAAAACATTTAAATTCATTGTTTAGGTAAATAGGAAATAAAACAAAAATGTTGGGTTCAGTAAAATGACAAATGTCCTACGTCGTCTTGCGAAAGCCTTTAAGAATGGGGTAGATGTTTTCAAATGCTTCGTAGATCTCCGCTCTTACTTTGGCACCTAAACAGTAAAGCAACATGGAACACACAAATTACAATAAGGCCCACTTATATAAAAGGAGCAATGTCTTTAAAGCTCTTTAAAAATTTAAAAAAAACTTTAATTTGTTACATTGTTTTATTGTAATGTCATTATTATTATTATTATTATATTTATTTGATTTATAGCCACCTGCTGCCACCTAGTGGGTGTATTTCAATATTCTCTACTGTTTGATAGACAAACAAAGATTTTTTTTGCAGTTAATAATTAATCATTTTTAAACCAATCGAGTGAAATTGGAGCAATTTAAATGGTACACCTGACGATCGGTACTATGAAGATTATGTAGGAAATGTGTACAGAACATTTCATAATTGATTCCTTTTTTAAACTGTGCATTTTAATTACAAATGTTTGAATATCAAGATTGTATTGTTTTACAAACTAATGACATGAGAAAATGTGAGACGACATGGTTAGTTAGTGATAAAGGTTAGTGATTTACCTGTCAGTACAACTTTTCCAGAGACAAAGATGAGCAGGACAATTCTGGGTTTTATCATTCTGTAAATCAGTCCTGGAAACAGTTCTGGCTCATAACTATAAGGAGACAAGTCAATAAGGTTTGAGTCATTACCAACATCATAACGCCCCCAAAACCAAATAGATAGCAAGGTGAAAAGCATAGAAATGGAAGTTTAAAATAAACTAAATTTTAATAGGGATTCAACTTCTATCCATGGATGTAAACATTTATGCTTATTAAACAATAATGTATTCTCTATAATTCTACCAGAGATTAGTCTGAGATTTAAGATATTTTAATCTTTTGTCAACAACCGTAAAATTAGGATGATAAAGTTAAAACGAGTATTCAAGCACAAAATCAGAAGTGACTGAGCTTAGAATTTAAAAAAAACAAAAAAAAATGACATTTACTCTTCCTTTGCTACATGTACTCTCCGTACAGTAGAGTACATTGCATATAGTTTGCATTATAATATGTACAGTTTGGACCTTTTCTACTTTTGGTTCTTCATTTTATTTATTGTACTGATGTGGACTCATTTTGGATTAGATTTTGTTTTAAAAATAAAAATATGTCGAAAGAAATGAAAGAAAATCTACTTTCTGACCCAAAACTACTTTTTTTGTCTTTAAGCTAAATTTGGGGGTTTAAAAGTTTAAAACACAGATACTAAGACACAGATATGGAGTGTGTGACACAATCACCTTCGTTAGAACAAAAACACTAAAAGGTGAAACGTGAAATTGACGCAACACAGTTACGTGGAATAAAAGAGAACAATTACCTGCTGAAATGTTGATGCGTTAGAACTAATCCTTCTAGTCGGATGGGAAACTTCACATCGCAGCTGCCCACCATGTTCTGAATTTTAAAATCCAGGAACTTCGCAGGGAAACCAAGCTTCTGCACCACACGAGCGTACTTCCTGGCCGCTAACCTTGACTGTTCCTCACTGGAGAAGGTATTATTTCATGTTAAGGTTTAAAAAAAAAAAAAAAAAAAATTCTGCCCACAATCTCCACTTTACAGGGCTGTCATCACTTGGATGACACTTGGCTGCACCACAATGGATTGGAATAATAAAAAAGCAAAGGGTTCATTATACCCATAGTCCTGTAAAAGTCTGGCTACATTCTGACCTTTTAGCTCCGGTGCAAACCATCTTCCCAGAGCTGAAGATAAGGGCAGTAGTTCTCGGTTCTCTTATTCTCATGATGACAGCAGCAAAACGCTGAAATATAGGACGTCTCTTATTACTGCAGCAGAGCTCTTGATCATATTTGCACAAGTTTAATTAAGGCAAGAGATGTCAGTCTTACCTTTGGGTTGTACTCCGCATTCCTGGCTCTGAGGGCAATGGTCTTAAGGTCCAGTTTACAGCCAAGATTGACTGTTGATACAATGTTTCTGCAGGGAGTATTACGAATATGTGACTTGAGAATTACCACGGTACAGCAGGTATATGGTCTGTATGGTATCGGTACATACACAAATAAAAATACGCGTGTAGCATTTTGTAAACAACAACAACAAACAACCGGGACAGCCCTCCTTAGATAGGATGAATCATTTATGAATAACTTTTAATGCTAGCATGCAATTTTTTTTTTTTTGTAACAAATCTTCAAATTAAATAAAAAACATACTGTAGCTGCGGTACTATTCCAGAGCTCTCTGAAGCAGGGGTGGCTGGTGTGATTGGAGTCATGGGCGTCAGTGGGGTGTTGTAGAGCGGTGTGTTGCCTGGTAGAGCTGTGGTAGTGGAGCCTGTTACTGTTTGGGAATGGAAAAGCTGAGGGGTCTGGCCTGATGTACCTGCAAGGCCTGAAAAGACATATGTTTCATCATCATGTTTAGAGCCTAAATTATAATTATTCCTTTCTATTTCTCAAAATAACCACGAAGGCTCATTCTGCATGCAGTGCACAAACACAAAGTCTAAACATCCCGATAACATTCCTTCAGTTCTTGTGACATTTTTAAAAAAAGGACGTTATAGTATTTAGTCTTCTTAAGTAGGAGTCTACCTGCATGGCACGTTATTATTTATGACATTTGCTTCCAACAAAACATTCAGCACACATACGCTCAGCCTTCATCTTGTCTTCACAGAGATTTTCTAAGAATGACAACACCACCACTATTTATCACTTTCGATGGTGTTTTTCCCAATTTAATTATACAAGCCAAACTTCACCATACCACGAGTTTTGAAAAAAATTACCTCTATAAGCATACATAAATGCAACAAACACAGCTCCAGTAATATTAAATCACACGGACCAGCTTTTGATCTCCATGTCAATCAACCAGCCTTGGCCACCTACAAACATATCACCGTGTTGCTTCTTTCTCCTCTTTGGACCACTTCTTCCAGATACTGACCACTGCAGACCAAGAGCATCCACCAGGTCTGTGGTTTTGGAGATGCTCTGACCTAGTCCATTAAACACCTTACTTTCACTCTAGTCAAACTCACTCAAATTCTTATGATTGTCCATGTTTTCTGCTTCTACGCATAAAACTTTCATTAAAAAGATGCTTAAGATATCCCCATTTTTCACACACACACACAAATTAGTGTTTTACCTGGGTTGGTCTGCTGTGCTTGCTGTTGTTGTTGTTGCTGCTGCCTCTGTTGTTCCTCCAGTATAGACAGGCTGTTGGTGTTCTGGATAGGCTGAGGTGTGAGGCCTGTGCCATATGGCATCATCGGACTAAAGATTGGCATGCCTGGTGTCATGGCCCCCTGCTCATGAAGAAACAAGCATAACTAAGTGAAGTCACAGGAAAAACTGCAGATACTAGAGTTTTGCACAAGGCTTTTCAAACGTTCACAGATTAGATGCCATTCTTCTGCTGCTGGTGCAGTTACTAAATAAAGTTTAACGTATTAAACGTTCACAGATCAGATGCCATTCTTCTGCTGCTGCAGTTACTAAATAAAGTTTAACGTATTAACAAAACTATATAGTAGGCAGAATTCCCCGTAACGTAAATCATTGAGTTGTTTCACATTGTTAAATTCCATTATTCATTTTTTTAGAGGGTCACAATAACAAGCCACTCTCAAATTAACACCTATGATATTCAGAGTATATTAAGAGATCTAATCTCCTATTTAGCATGTTTTGGGGCTGAGGGAAGGAAACCAGAAAGGAAGGCCCACACAAAATGCTTACTTCATACAGAAAGATCCACCAGTGATCAAACCAATAAACTAGTGATCCTCTTGTTGCAACAAGCATTCTACATGGAAAAACATTTGCCACTGTGTGGACTGTCAGTTTATTGTGACTATAAAATGACTTTAACTAATGTATTTTTGCGACTTAAATGATTTTTTAAAAAAAGGAAACATAGCCTCTTATTTCACAAAGACACATTGCGACTAAACATAGCCTCTTATTTCACAAAGACAACTTACAATTATGACAAAAAAAAGAAAAGGAAAAAATTCTCAGAAGCCTTTTTTAAAAAGCTAATTTTATATTGTATATTGAACATGGCTGGAACTGTGGGGTTTGACTTTGAATATGTTAAAGTCAAATAGGTAAAACAGCAGTCACCTGAGGAGAGGCCAGCCCCTGGAAGGCTGGTATACTGTTGTTTTGGTCCATCTGTTTACTGTTCCTTATGTCGATTCACTGCCAATACAAGGGGCAGTCACACAGGTAGGGAGGGAGACTTTAAGCTGGACTCGTCGTCTCCTCCTAAAGACGATACATATAACAGTAAACGACTTAAAAACCAACAACGTATTGCCTTAGTGCTCAAGGTTCAGAAATTCCTCTACCATGTCTCCCACAACACATGTGCGGATGAAAAACGTTAAACAGTCCTCATGACGAGATGGCAGAATAAGCAGAAAACAATAATTTTGTTGGATACGGTATTTTGAATACAGTGTGAAATAATAACTAACAATATGTAGTCATGTCTAACATATTGAACATATGCACACAATAATGATAGGAATGTTCTCATTGCTCTCTCAGCTGCGTGTAGTACACACAAGCTGTGGCGCCAACCCATATACCAAGGGCTTTGATAAAATATTTTCGTTCGTTTATTCTGCACACTATTAGCAAGTCGATGCAAATTACTTAAACGAAGAACTTATTTTGAATTTTTAAAAAACATATTGAAAAATAAACCGTATCACGGCTAACAAGAAGTTGGTTAAACGGCTAACGTTAGTTGCACCATTAAACATAAAGCCCTAGACACGGAGAATATATATACATTTTAACAACATTATACGTGAATAAATTATGCAGTATTTTACAAACCTTTTCTCTGTCTCTAGTCGTCGTATTTGAAAGTTGTGTCTAAGACCAGCGCATAAATTAGTTTTATTTAACCGGAAGCCCGTGTGCACCGCTTGTTTCTTCTTCTACGGTGCTCAGAAGCGGAAGTTCTTATAATTTGCTGTATCACAGTTGAGCACAAGACAGTGCAAAGATGGCGACGCTGAGTGACAAGTCAGTTTGGGACGAAGTGGAGGATGGCATCGGCGAAGAAGTATTAAAAATGTCCACTGAAGAAATAGTTCAGCGGGCTCGACTTCTTGACAGCGAGATAAAGATTATGAAGAGCGAAGTGCTGCGAGTGACCCACGAGCTACAGGCCATGAAGGATAAAATCAAGGAAAACACGGAAAAGATTAAGGTGAACAAAACGCTACCGTATCTGGTGTCAAATGTGATCGAGCTACTTGATGTGGATCCCAATGATCAGGAGGAAGACGGGGCTAATGTGGACCTAGATTCACAAAGGAAAGGGAAATGTGCCGTTATCAAGACCTCCACTCGACAGACCTACTTCCTGCCGGTGATCGGTCTCGTGGATGCTGAGAAGCTAAAGCCCGGTGACCTGGTGGGTGTCAACAAAGATTCATACCTGATCTTAGAGACTCTACCAACCGAGTACGACTCCAGGGTAAAGGCCATGGAGGTGGATGAACGTCCCACGGAGCAATACAGTGACATAGGGGGCCTGGACAAGCAGATTCAGGAGTTAGTGGAGGCTATAGTCCTGCCTATGAATCACAAGGAGAAATTTGAAAACCTGGGCATCCAGCCACCTAAAGGGGTCCTGATGTATGGACCCCCGGGCACAGGAAAAACCCTTCTGGCTCGTGCCTGTGCTGCTCAAACCAAGGCTACCTTTTTGAAGCTGGCTGGTCCACAACTAGTCCAGATGTTTATTGGTGATGGTGCCAAACTGGTTAGAGATGCTTTTGCTTTGGCCAAAGAAAAAGCTCCATCCATCATCTTTATAGATGAACTTGATGCCATTGGGACCAAGCGATTTGACAGTGAGAAGGCAGGAGACCGAGAGGTGCAGAGGACCATGCTTGAGCTGCTCAACCAGCTGGATGGATTTCAACCCAACATGCAGGTCAAGGTGAAGTAACTTCCATACTTCCAAATGTTACACCCTTTATGTCTTAGGCAAAGGAACAAAATCCCTTTGTTTACAGTAGCACAATTTAAAAAATGAATACTTGCAAACTACAGCTACTGTACATCCAAAACCCATTTCTTTTGTGTCCATTGATTGTTTTGTACCCAAAACTGGATAACCAAAAGAACCTTTTGTTACCATGTCACCTTGATGGTTTCTGGACCTCTCTTACTTTGCCTACTTCTATTTTGTATACTATTATAATATTATAATATTATAATATATTATGAGTGTAAATCCTAGTGGCACTTTGGCCTAGCGGCAATGTCTCTGTCATTGGTGTGGAACCCCAGGCTTCACCTCCTGGGTAAGATTGAATCCCGGTTAGGACGGGTGGTACCTTCCAGTGGACTCACCACCCGCAGGAAGGTGCAATGTGGCAACTGCTACCCCTGTGACATGGTAACGGCGAAGCGGATGAAAAAGTATTATCAAACTTCAGAATATTGTTTTGTATTATTAGGTAATAAATGGAGTTGTATTTCTTATTATTAATACAGACTCATCAATTAGATATGTCATTTCAAGTCAAAAAAATGGAAATAGGTCACTTAGATCCATATATTAATGTCAATTTTAACTGTTCAAGACTAGCCTAAGCAAGTTTAATCTCAGCACAATTAGGGGTTTAAGTTTTCTAAATAATAAAAATAATTAGGAAAAGTGATGAATAGTAAAATAAAAAATAGACCATTGTTTTGTGGACAGCTTTTTCATTTTTTTCTGATATTCAGTTATGTATCCAACCAAACTAGAGTAATGGTGTTTGTCGGTTAATACATTGGTCTGGTTTGTTACTTCACCAGATCCCCAGAATAATTTTTACCCAAAAAAAAACTTCTTAAGGAGGAGTTTTTGCACAGCCAATAATAAAGGGTCCATATCGATTATAGGCTCTATAATTTTTTTTTACAAATAAAGGTATGTGCTATAAAATATGTACTAAAACAAATGATAAGAAGAATGTCTGTTAGTACTTTTGAAAATGCTCAATAGCTAAAATGAATCAATTCAAACACATTCATGTCTTTGTTGTCTAAGTCTTGTAAGCCCAAGGGTAAAACAGATATGTCTATGAATCAGAATCAACAGTTGAATGACTTATGATTGACCACCGGTATTTCCCGTATGTATTTAATGTTTTCAGGTCATCGCTGCTACCAACAGAGTGGACATCTTAGACCCTGCTTTACTCCGTTCAGGTCGTCTAGACAGGAAAATCGAGTTCCCCATGCCAAACGAAGAAGCCAGAGCTCGCATCATGCAGATTCACTCTCGCAAGATGAACGTCAGCCCAGATGTGAACTACGAAGAGCTTGCTCGCTGCACCGATGACTTCAATGGAGCCCAATGCAAAGCTGTGTGTGTGGAGGCTGGAATGATCGCGCTGCGTCGTGGAGCCACAGAGCTAAACCACGAGGATTACATGGAGGGGATCCTGGAGGTTCAAGCCAAGAAGAAGGCCAACTTGCAGTACTACGCCTGAGAGGCCAATGTCTGTGTGTGTAAAACAAAAACGCAAAAACAAAACAAGACCAGCTGGTCTTGTTTTATTTTTGCGTTTTTGTTTTGTTTTTTCCTTTTGTTTGGTTTTCTAAAATGTTCGGGTGGCATGAATTGTTAAAACATTTATCAAGTAAACACTTGAAACTACAGTTTGGGCTAATAAAAAGAATAACAATAAAGTATTGGTTGTTTTTGTTTTTCCCTAGCTAGACATATTTTCTGTTTTGTCTCTTTATTCGTAAGCTTGTCATGCAGCCAATGCTTGTCAAACTCCAGGCCCACGGGCCAGATGCAGCCAGCCAAGTCATTTGGTGTGGCCAATGGGAGCAAGTGTTTAATTGCCTTGTAATAACGTCTATTTGGCTGAGTTTCTTAACTTTATTACACAGCAATTTTCGATATTTGTAACTTGAATAAATAATTATCAATTGCAGAAAATGATTAGTACATTATGGAATAGTTACAGCTTTACTTAACAGTTACAACCGGTCCTTCAAGGGGTACTATATTGCTGATCTGGCCACCTAGTGAAACGAGTTTGACATCCCTGTCCACCCCAATTGCCTCCAACGTTTGATCCTCTGTTAGCTACTTATTTCTCTGCTTATTTCATATAGAACAAATATAGAACGTGCTTTTTTTTTGCACATAACAAAAACAAAAAAAACTCACAAAAATAATTACTAACATACACTACATGTTTTACTCCTGAATATATTAAAATATTTCAACAAATTAAAAAAATTATAATGTGGAACACTCAATCCAAAAATTCACGAGCACATGACATGTTTTTTAAAATTCCGTAACGATATCTGATATCTATCTATCTATCTAAAAATTACTTATATGATTTTATTTTCATAGTTACTTTTATGGTATTTAATACACTTTAAAACACTTACTATAACTGCTTCTACTTACACACACACACAAAGCAGTCATCAAAGTGTAATTTCTGTTGTCGCCACGAAATAGCAATAGACACAATTAACTTTTTGCTGTTTCAAACATTTCTAGCCACGGGACCATTTCGGTCACACATACAGAAGAGCTTATATTTTAAGGCTTAAACTATCAGAGATAGTAGCCTTCTGCAATGTAGCCTTTGACATAGCCCGCTATGTCCCGATGTCACGGGGGCATATGCAATTGGTATACCGCCTCACTGATGCTAAGGTGGCAGCAGCAGCTTTGACAAAGGGGATCCCAGAATTCTGTATGTCATGCCTTGCTTTGGAGCATTTGTACTCCTCCACAAGGCTTAAGATTGAGAGAGGACGCCGTCGCCAGACAGGCCTAGACTGCCGAGACATTGGGGTAGACCGGATGACATCCCAGCTAAGTTGTTTATAACCTGCTCGGAGTCTTTGAGCTCTGCATTGTACCAACGACCGAGGCTTTTGATGGGCTTCCTGAAGCAACAGAAGTCCGCTTTCCAGATGTTGGACCAGGTTATCTTTTGTTGCAGAACTTTCTCCCATTTAGTCCATGCGCCTTCTTGCCCTATTACTGCCCTATACTGTATCATTTTATTTTGTCATATTGTTTTTCTGACCTTGTCCATGAGAATGTTGCTGAATTAGGGATATTAATTTTTGATCAGTCATCGCAACTACCCAAGTTATGGCAAGCTGTTGATACTTATTTAGAGCTATTAACAGTTTCAATTTTGCACCGTGTTAACAAAATTTAACTATGTTGTGTAGTGTGATTAAACCGTAGCTGATGCAGTACATAAATATGAAAGTATTTTTATGGAATAAATTAAATGATAACCAACAATCAATGTTGTTTTTGTGACAATTGTGGTTTTTGTGCCAATAAAAACTAAATAAAATAAACAAAGACAAAAAAGCAGTATTCCATGTTGTACTTTTTAAATCAAGAGTGAATCAGTAGAGCACATTAACATTAAGAAACGTTATAAAAAAAGTGAACAGAAACATCATTTCTTCCCTCCTTGGTATTTTACACCATTTAATTTGTATTAACCAACTCTCCAAGTGATTGTTGTTACTTCTGACCATTATTTGACGTCCTAGTCTTTCCTTAGAGGAAAAGATTGCTCCTTCACACCCTCCTTGGTGATGACACAGATCTGCAGGGCATCTCCGGTGTAGACATCTCTCTCTGCGGCTGAAATAAAGACATCCTTGACCAGCTGCACTGCCTTTTCCTGAGTCAAAGGGAGCTTTTCGGCACTCTCCATGTTCTTAAAGCCAATCTGGTAGCAGGACATATCAGAATGAGAAAAATGATTAACAAAATTAATTTTAGTATTAAAATAAAACAATTTAAATACTTCAATTTAAGATCTTCACTTTAAACAAAAAGAAAATAAATCTTAAAATTAGAAGATTTTCATTCAATATTAAGTTAGTTTTCATTTTGTTGAACATGAAGTTTATTCTTCTGGCTCCCTGATATCAGCAACATTTAATCATGATTCACGACTCTGCTGTGTCTACATCTCCTCTTTTCCTTTTCGGGTCAGGAGTTCATGGATGAAGCGTTCGTGTGAACTAAGATGCATGACATGTAAAAGTCATGCATAAAGGCTAAAATGCTTTTGTCATTTTCTACGCCATCTATTGGGGAAACACGGGTATTGCAGGAAAAAGGCAAAAGTATAATGATAATATAAATATATAATTTGGAAAATTTTCGAGGCCGGATTAAAAAGCTGAATAGGCCACATCCAGTCCTCGGGCCATAGTCCTTGGGCCATAGCCTTTAATACCAATAAAAAAAAAATTTGTAATGAAATTACAAATTGTGAGTATTTGGTGAAAATCTTGTGACAAGGGCCACGCGGTACTTCATCAAAACGCCACTAAACAGCTTAATAATCCTACTCTTAACAACCTTAAATCTCTCTTCTCATTAAGCGAAATACATTTACAAATCAGTGCATTTTTTAAAAAAAAAAGTACTGCACAAATTTGGGTCTATTTGTATAGATGCATATTCAAATGTGTAATTGCACGTGACATTAGTACCTGGTTGTCAAGCAGTGGCTGCAGCATGGCACTTGCTGATCCTGCAGCTTTGTAGACGTCTCTCTGGTAAGAGCCAACTGGGTCAAAACTGTACACAGCTCCCTTACCTACATAAAGAAATTATAAGATACTATAAGAAACAGTGGCCTTTAAGGTTACAAATTCAACACCGATTACCCGAGGTACCTACCCTCCTCATCTAGTCCCCCGATGATGTTGTAGACGTAGTAGGGGAAGAATCTCTTGCCATACAGAATAGTTGACAACATTGCTGCGATTGCTCCACTGGTCATCTTCTTATTATTTGAGTGCTTGTACATCTGAGAAGAAGCGAGCCATATACTCCCGTTAACATTTAAAGTAACCAAAGTAAAAACCTTTAAATAAAGAGTGGTTATTGACAGGAATAAATGTATATCTACAAAACAACATTCACAGCACTGGGGCCATCAGACTTTAGGTATTAGGCACATACACGTGTATATATATTTATATACAGCATATATGTATAAACAGTATACACATATATAGCTATATGTGTACATACTGTATATACTTATGACATTCTTATGACATACTATTCTTCTTATTCCATGAGCTACTATGACCGTAACTGTAGTTTTACTATTTATTATTTATTACTATGTATTATCATTTATTACTATGTATTATCATTTATTATTTATGTATTCTGTATGTTTACTGTAGCTTGATTGTTGATTGACAGACTCAAAGTGTAAGTCACTTTGGATAAAAGCCTCTGCTAAATATATTGTGATATATATATATGTTGTTATGACCTTTGTCTGAGGATATATACTGTATATACATATACGTGTGTGTATATACACACACATACATATATGTATAAAAATAAATCTTATTAAAGTTTGAGAAGGCAAAACCAAGATATGCTCACCTTTAGTCTGGCATCGATGATTTTTGTAAGAGTCAGGCAGTCACCATGGAAACCACTGCACCCAATGACTGTTGTGTCTGTACTGTAAGAATCGAAACAAACACACATTCAAAGTAGCAGGGGACGCAATGGAGACATTGAAATGACGTGTGATCTTTATGCACACCACTGTGCACAACAAAAGTATGACCCTGTAATTTTACTAATCACCATGACGAGCAGTGCCGTGCTCTGCGCACCTCAGTGGCAACTTGGCAACTGGTGGACTTGGACCTGGAACCTTCCGGACCTGTTAAGCGCATACTGCCACTTACTGTACAAGAGTGTGGAGTCTCAGAGTATGACAAGTGACTCTGAGAGAATGCAGCTTTCTCCTTACGCCCTTGTGTAACAATTACTTTTTAATCTAAATTGATGCACAATTTGTAACAATTTTTCCATTGATTCATGATGCAAAAAATGCATGGTGATGAGGTCACATTTCATTGTGTGTGCAGAAAGTTGTTCACTTTCACTTTCATATACTGTGTAGCACTACTACGCCAATAAAAGATTAAAAAGGAAATATATTTTACATCATAATAAGTAGTAGTATTTTTTTCATTTCATTTCATTTTTAAGTTTAATTGCAAAATGGTATGAGTCATACAATAGTGGTTCATATGGAAATGCAACTAAGTAAATAAATAAATAATTAAACTTTCTGGCACCCTTATAAAGTATTTGTGTATTTGTACCAGATACTGTCAACAGCCATCATTTAGACATCTACCGGTATACCGAATCGAACTGTTAAATTATCATTGACTCGTGAGATTCTTAACCAAGTCCAAGTCCTAGGTGTCCCAAATGTACCAGTGAGTAACAGGATTACCTAAACATAGGTGCGAAGGAAACTTTTATATTGCTGATTTTATCTAGGACGAAAGTATCACAGACTTTTTTTTCTGACATTTATATATGTTGTTCACCTGGCTCGGCTAAAGCCCCTGCACTCTGAGGATGTCATGTCAACTAGCAACGGAAAAGAAAAAACGATAACACGGAAAGGAAGTAGACTTTCTACGTCACATTAAAATGACTTACAGCTTGTAGCATTTTGGGGAGTCCCGGCTATGGATGGAATAGCCTTCACTCAGCCGAGTGTCTGAGGCTACAATTGCGAAGTCCTCTCCAGCAACGGCCAAAACAGTTCTATAAATGAAAACAAAACAGGGTTGTCTATTTAGTTTCAAAACTATTTCGCCCAAAAGTTAACGTGCTGACATATGCTAAGCTAAACTGAAAATGGAACAACTCCAAAAGCATCATCCAGCATTTTATGTGTACATCACGCTATAGAATAAAACTACACGTAGAGAGCTAGTTTTAACGAAGCTAGTTTTAGTTTTGATTTGTAGGAACGTGTTTGCCGTCTATCTCTTCGGCCTCGTCTATTCTTCAGTAGATGCTAGTAAGCGGTCAACTGTAGCCGGTAGTCAACTAACCCTCCGTTGAAAGTATACGGTGAAAAGCGCTGCTCCACTGGACCCTGGTAATGGTATGATTTCATTTTCCCAGAATCTCCAAAAGCGTGGGACGAAAGCATCTTCAATTTATAGCGACTCTGTTGAGGATTTTATCGAACAGCTAAACTCGCTGTATCACTGTACAATGCAGCCTCTTCTTTTACGATCGGTAAATCAGCAGGGGCACATGGACTTTTTGCCACAGCGCCCCTATGGGCTATTTTATGTATTGTGTACTGCTGCTGCCACACGATGATAATAATAATAATAATAATTATTATTATTATTATAAAATTATTATAATATTATTGGTATTATTATTAATAATAATATTGTTATATAATTTGAACTTTATTGATCACACACTGGGGAGAATGATTGGAGGCACCAAGTATGTGGTCCTTCTGGGAATCAAACCCAGGACTCTGCTTGAAAGACATAATGATTAATTGTGTTGATCAGCAAGGTCTTTGTCATTTTATACAGTTCAGAAATTTACACATTTACTTCTCTGGTATGTATTTGTCTAAAATGCAACATTAAATTACAGCGACAGTGTACTACAACGTTTTTAAGACCAAGAACACCGAGATGAGTTGGATCAGCGACCCCTTTCTAGATAGATAGATAGATAGATATAATAATAATATTTTTATTATACTATTGTTATTACTAAACTAAATGAGTGTTACATATATATCTATACAAACTCTCATGACATCTCTGCAGATCCTTTAGAGGTCAGGGACCCCTTCTTAAAAGTTATAAAGACATTGTACAGACTGACCCTTTATGATATCTTGCAAGGTCATGGAGTGGAGTACCTCGGATGTAATAATGGAGGCTATAACCACTGACATTGATATAGATATGTTCACACTGCCATAGTTATTCACAGGATTGGTATAGATATGTCATCTTACAACAATGTGATTATTGTAAATACTTTCAGTAACATTTTTTGTTACAGCACAATGGCACATGTAGATTCCATAGAGTGTAGGTGTAAATGGAACTTTTAATACCTGTTTGTCTCTCTGTGTTTCCAGAACAGAATTGCGATGCTTGGAAGGCTAACGTCCGACTCAGAACAAGATAGAATAAGAACAAGTACGAGAGAGTAAATAAATGAAACATTCCCAGACAGCCTCCTTAAAAACATATTTTACTCAAAGCACACCATATTCAGTAAATAATAAAACATTACAAAAAGACAAAAATAGGTTATTTGAAAGTATTAGTTGACTAATTAGTTATTTAAACAAAAAAAAAATCAACTGCATTCTGTAATTCCAAGTAATCAGTTATTACACGTCAAGGACTTGACATATGCAAATAATAATAAAATAAAATCACAGCCATTTTGCCATGTTGCAAGCAGACTGGTTTTTACTGGCCTTTGTCATTTCATTCTCAAACAAATATATAAATATGGAATAACATTAAAAACCAGGTAACATGAGAAAAAATTTAATGTTTGAGTAGTATAAAATGAAAAACAAACAAACAAAAAAACACTATAAAAAAAAGTTTTCCCATTACACATTAAATGCAGGAGCACCACAGAGTTCACTAGTATAATAGTGTAAGGACAGATTTTACTGGTCCCAGGTCTGAGTCAAGTCTCTAGTGCACTGCAACTGGCAGTGGCATTACTGATGATACAAGTCCCAGGTCTGAGTCAAGTCTCTAGTGTTCAGTCAGAGACTAAGAATGAGATTGTTAGAAAATGGAGTCTGCGTTGTTTTGAAGGTAACTTCTGTGCCATTTGTGCTTACGCAAAATCAGCAAAGGCCAAAACATGATGCAATGAGAGTAAATGTGCCCCCCTGAAATACTGCAGAGAGAATATTTTTGAAAGTTTGTTGATATCCAAGCAGACACAATTATTTATGAGATATGGTACATATACGTTTTAATCTGATTCCATTCTAATACACACACATTTTATTTGGTCCTTTGAAGTCTCGAGGTATGGCGGTTTCCAGGCATTACATAAAATCAAGCTCCTACTGGACAACAGAAAATTATAAGTGGATTAATATACAAATACAAATGAATTAACTGCTAAACTTGTCGAGCCATATCTTTCGAAAGCTGAATCATTCATTTGAGGTAACTTTCTTCTCCGAGACAGTCAACAAGATGCAGACAAAAACATAATATTTCAAGATGTCTTCTAAAAGGTCATTTAGCATATCTTTCATTTTGCATTTGAGAACCCAGTGACTAAAAATCATCAAATCATCATCAAGACTGGCTTCACTAAAGCAGCCAGTTGTCAAATATAACGTCCACATATCTTCACTACAGTTTAATCCACCGCTCTTTATCACTTAATTTACAAAAACTGACATGGTCTATTTTGGGATAGACCTAAAACTATTGATCTATCTTGTTTACATGTGACATTATCCCAAAGATGACTCATAACTATTATTATCAACTGCTAAAAAAAAACAAAAAAAACAAACCCCATTACACATTAAAGACATTAAAACCTGGACTTGATGCAAATATGTTCACGTAAATGCAATTTAAGATCAAAATATTCAACACATGAAGTTTAATGTATATTCTTAAGGTGGTCACAGTAATCACAATAATAGGTCTTTACTGAAATCAGAGCAGTGTGTTTTTTTTCCCTTAGATTTTGGTGCAGGAGTAGTCAAAGGTGTTGTCAATCATTTCTGAGCAGACTTGTACTTCTTAGGTGTTTTGGCTCCCCTCTTTTTCTTGGGTATGGAATCTTTGTCACACACTTCACAAAGCCAGAGCCCTGAGGAAAAGGGAAAAATAAGATGTATTACAATTATAAAAAAAAAACGAGTTGCTCATTTAGCCAACAAAAGAACTGATGCCAAAAGCTGTAGCATCAGGAAAAAGATTAGGTTTGTCTAATCCGTGAGAAACGGAAACATGACATGGGACGCAACAAATGGGAGGAAATTTTCAAGGTATAAGTGATGATGATGATGGCACCTAATGTGCGCTTTCATTTTTTCTTTTGGAACTATTTGATGTTACTGATTTTGATTCATTATAAAATATGACATCACTAGGTGTTGGTTCAATAAATTTGAAATGTTATTTGTCAAGATTTTTGTTGGGGCGATGGGGGGTAAGTGGAAAATCCCCGCTTGTTCAAAATGGGAAATGACCAAAAAAAAAAAAAAAAAGCTTGAGAATCACTGGCTTAGTGTGACTTGAGGCTGAAGCCTCCACTAACGTAACACAATTTAATTATCGCAGATAATTAGTTCATTTTAATACTACCCATTTGCTATGTGCAGTCTATGGGCTAATTCGTGACCACTATACATTATTGCCCCAAGCAAATCTGCACAATACATTTCTACTGTTAAATTTAAAATACTTTTCTACATTTCTACTGTTAAATTTAAAATACAAACATTTATTCAAATTTGGGGGATCGATGACATTTTTTGTGCAGTGTTGTATATGCTGCGTTATGTAGCGAAAATGTTATTTACAGGAGTGCCTAACATGCCCTCATTTGGAATCAATTGGTGGAAGAAAACCAATGCATTGTGGGATATACAGTAAATTAGGTTAAGTGTAATTTTGAGCAGACAAAAAATTCCATTAAAAAATACTATAAAATGTCCTCATGAGGTAGTACGTCAATTCTTCCTGTGGGTATGTTACTCTTTTGCTAGTAAGGGCAGTCTGTGTACTTTTGGTGGAGTGCATGCTAAACCTGCATATCCAAGTTGGTGGTATATATTTACCAGTTGGTATGGAGTCCACGCCCACGCAGAATGTGTGATATCCTCGATCACACTTGTCACAGAACATCATCTCGTCCTCGTGATGTGGCTGCTGGCACACGGTGCAGGTCTTACAATCCATACACTGCCAACGGTAGGTCTGAATTACACTCACCAGTTCCGCACTCATGTCTAAGCAGGATGGATGACCTGAAGTCATTAAGAGCAGAGGTAAAGACACAGCCAAGAGGACAAACTGACAAATGAAGAACACACACACACACACTCAGGCAAAAAGAAAAATACTCTACATCAGTGGTCCCCACACTTTTTTTGTACCAAGGACCGGTTGACCGGTATCTGCCATTACTGCAGGCTGGTAATATCGCTATATTTTCAAAATAAAAAAAAATTTTTTTTAGACTTTAGACTTTATTCTGTTCAGTATCAGAGTCTGAATGACTTATTGTTTTGAAACATTGCCAGATTATCTAGTTATAAAAACAAGTAAAGGGATATGACTGGATTCTTTTGGAATGAAGTAAATTAGTAAAACTGAAGTACTATTATAGTACTAGTATTTTTTCACTGTGTCCTACAGCAGCCTGGCCCCCCCCGGCCCGGGGATTGGGGACCCTCCGCATTACATGGTATAAAGTATGCCATTCAATTAATTAAAAATATTATTATTTTAATAATTATTATTTAATTATTTTGAATTATTATTTAACTAAAATAACAACGTTAGAGACAGCAATTTCACACAAACAATGAGGGGAAACAAGGATCGTAAACAAGGCACTTTACGAAATTTCTCAGAAACAGATGCATTTTGTTTCAAAAGTGAGGCTTTGAGTTAAAGTGATAACTGTACAAATGTAAGTCAAAACAGTGCATAAGGTTTAGGCAAGTGTATACATATAATTCTTGCAGCGTTTTTCATTTAAAGTTTTTTTTAAAGTAAAAGTAGAGGGCCATCCTCAACAACACTTACTCTTTGGTAAAAGATAAATATTAGGGATGTCCGATACTAACTCTATCCTGAGATAACACTTAATTTTTGGGTTTATTGGGTTTCATTATCGGAGGGAAAACCAATAACAATTCTTACAGATATTACAAAACATGCCAATATCGGTCGGCCGATATTATCGGACATTCCTAATAAAAATGATGGAGAAATATGAGCGGACACCATGTATAGTCAACAGCTGCCTTATCTAAAATTATATAATTATTAAAAGATATAAAGTCAAGTATCCTCTTAAATAAAGAATGTGAACTTACCACTGTTGTCACATTGGGAACAGTGAATGAGAGCTTCGGGCTTGCCTTTCCTGTTGGCCTCTTTACCCTTCTGGCAAATGCCACAAACAGCATTGGGAATGACCTTAGGCTGTAATGGCAGAATAATTCTATAAAAACCAGTCACACATCAAATTCTGCAGTAACTGACAAAAATGTTTCTGGATTTTACAAAAAAGAACAGTATACAGTTGACATATTTTATATGTGGATACACATTCAATTATATTGACAGGTTTATAAAAAACAAACAAAAAAAAAAAAAAGCAACAATATGCTAACCTTCAACTTATCGGGATGACGATTTCAAATACAATTGCAGCTACTTTGCTGACTTTAAAGTCGCATGGTCGCAAGCGTGGATTTGACTAATTCATTGTGATACACAATATTAGAAAATTCCTGTTCTCCTGCCAGTGTCACCCTTGACTTACATAGAGAAAGCTGGTATGTGTCCTCTACCTAAGCCAGACACGGGCAAACTAAGGCCCGGGGGCCGGATGCAGCCCATTTATCTTTTTAATCTTGCCCACCAAACTTTTTCAAATGATATAATTTATTTATATTATCATCATACTTCTGCCTCTTCTCCTGCAATAAACACTTTTTTTCCCCCAATAGATGTCGTAGAAAATGATAAAAAGTGATTTAGCCTTTATGCATGGCTTTTACATGGTCTTTTATCTTAGTTCACACAAAATGTTATTATTATGGCTAACGAGATCAAAATGTTCAATTTAAAGCGACGCTCACATATCCAATGTCCAATAATTCCACCGTCCATCCACCTATCATTGCTCTCATATTCAGCTGATACGCAAGTCATTTGTTCAAACTGCACCATATACTATCTCAACCCATCATTCGACTTTCTGTTGGACGCCTGGCTGCCATGAGACCAGCCTCACCAAGCTAACGGCCCTAATTAAGGCTACCTAGCGAAAAGCTGTGTGACACAGTTGTCGAATGGATTTGAGAGAATGTAGACTGGTCAATATTGTTGAGGACTTGAGGACCAAGGCCTCCTGCAACCCAATGTCAAGAAAACCATCAACACCACGATTAATCACAATTAATCATGATTAATCCATGGATACACAAGACTATTCAGATTAAAGATGATAATCATTTTATAATCATCACACATTAACAAAAACCATCAAGTCAAATCGTCATTTAGAAGTTAAATGATTTAACACTACTACTTTTTGTCATACTATTTTCTCAGTTTTAAATGCATCGTTGATGCTTAACGTTATTATGTTTAACAGTAACCCCCATGAAAAGTTGTTGGCATCTGACAACACATGGAAGGTCAAAGCAGATGGACGACAACAACAGCCAATCAATTCAAATTGTCACTAAAAAAAAAAAAAAAAAAATCAATCCCTGAAAACTATGAGAGATAGATGTGCCAAATCAGGGTCTCTTCAACTTTTTATACACGACACACATTTCAATAATTAACTAAATGCGAAAACTGAAAGTAAACACCTCACACAACAGTGTTCTGACTTAGGACCGATAAATGGATAATCACATAATTATTACATACTCTGTGAAAACACAAATAGTTGTTTTCAATATTGTTAGAGTAAATGCAGAGCACTTTTTTTTTCTTAATAGTAAAAGTTGATTTGTATAATAAAGAGACCCAAAATCTAAAGCTTCAACAACAACAACAAAAAAATCTAGCAAACTTTGCTCAATCTTACCAGTTACATCAATGAGCCACATGGCTGTTCTTTTATATTAGGTTAAAAAAGAGCCAATAATGTGGAACACATAATAACTTGTAATGGGAAGGAAAGATCTGCAGGACAATTTTAATGATATCATACAGTCAAACAACAGATCATGTATAAAAACATCTGCTATAAAGTCTATGGTAAGCAATGAAGATTAGAGTTTTAACGCCTAAATAAAATGTATCTATGGACATATATATATATATATATTATTGGATAAAGGGAAACACCTTTTCAAAGAAGAAAATTAAAAAGTTTTATATGGGGACACAAAACAAATGTTATTTGAAAACAAATGTAACCTTGTGTTCATGGAATTATTGGAAAGAAGTACTCCCCCCCCCCCCCAAAATAACCTAAAACAAATCTCCTTGAAGTTCCTTGAAGTAAGAAACAAAACAAGTTTATAATGACAAACAGGCTGAGAATCAAATTAACCTCTACTCACATTAATATCCAGAGTGAAGTAAGTCAATTTTCCTTTAACTGGTCAAGTCAACTTTGAACAAAATTCATCCTTCATATCTTTTTTTTAGATCCATTATCACTTATAAAGATGTGTGTTCATGTTTTTGCTTAAGAAAGCAGCAAAAGAAAGAAAAATGTATTTAGAAGAACATCAAGGTATTTACGGTCTGGGAAACACTGTTTAACCAATTCCTCACATGTGACGGATTTAACAATTGAGTAGATCAACAAATTTACAAAATGATGACACGTTACTTGCTTGTTAATACCTCAACTTGATTCATTCTCAAAATCACTGTCCACCTAATAAATAATCAAATAAATCGAGTTTTTTATATAATAACATTGTATCCATAGCCATGCACTACACTCATGGAGAACCACGGCATATACAGTATGCAGATGGACCTCCCACTTAATGGTCTGCAGATACACATGTAACGCAAGGTACTCTATATGCAGCAATAATTTGTTTTTAAATGGAGCATGATCACCAAAGATCGACATGCATGGCCTCCGGTTCTCGTTTTTTTTTTTTGTTTCCAATCCAGATCAACTCAAACACGAGTTACACTCAAACATTGCTAACAAATGGTACTAAATGAAGAATCAGAGCCAAATGACTTCATTTAGTTCTCCATGTCTGGTATGTATACCCTTCCCTCTGTACCTCCTTTAGTGAGTTTGAGAAGGGCTAAGGACAACATATGCACATGTCTGGACTTTTCCATTTCTGAAACATGTTGCATGAGTCTGGTTAACACAATAATAAGAAGAAGGATTTGCAACTGACGCAGCCTGCCACGGGAGGCGCCATTGAGGATAAGCGGTTCCTCTGGGGCTCGAACTTAGAATCATTCATATCACTATGGAACTAGAATGCAATCATCTCTGATACCAGCTATACGCTCAACGTGTAACAGTTCCACCTCTTAAGCCTAGGAAATCACAAGTTACGTCAATAAATTCAAAAAAAATATTTTTCACTACACTTAGGTCTGAAAGGAAGGAAATAGATGTCAAACAACAAATAAGCAATGTTTTTTTTTAAAAAAAATCCAACAATTGATAGAGAACTACTGTGTTACCAAGTCTGGTAGTAACTTGCCTAAAAAGACATGAACTCTCCTCCAGAGTAAACATCCTTATGAGTTAAGCCAGTATTTCTCAAACAGAGATGCGGGCCCCCCCTGGTGGGTTCAGTGTAGAATGTTTTTTTTGTTTTAAAAAAAAAACACCATTCATTTAGAAATGTCACTGAAAATACACTTTTTAGGATAGCATTTGTGAATTATCCTGCTTATTGTTTGTCCAATCGCCAGACATATAAGTAAATAAAGCATTGTGGACGGAAGTTACAATATCAGAAGCAACCATTAGCGTAGTATATGGAGGTGGCTGTGAAGTAGTGTAATTCTTGCCTGCCCTGCAGTAAAAACGGTATCCAGCTGTACCCAGATGACAAATGCTGTGAACAGCTCTAATGAAGGTTAAATGCCAAAAGGAAAAATGCAGTATTTGTGAAACTCAATGATTCACTATTTAAGCATCCATTAGCATACCAAATTACAGATTCCACAAGTGGGGCATTTTTGTATTTCACATCCTACAAACACCTAAATACCATTTAGTTATTGTTGATTACAAATGTATCCCAAAATGTATCATGTGAACTCTATGTACCTGGGATGACAAAAATGTTAGCTAGCTGCTGGAATTAATTGCCGTGTTATGTTAAAATAAAAATGACCGATGTAAGGCTCGTCATCTAGAACTTTAAATGACACAAATTATACTTGTAGCCATAACATCCATCTTTCATATACTATTTTGTCAGTTAAATAAATAAAGATAATGATTGCAAATCATTACTTACAAAAGTTGGTGTTTAAAAAAAAAAAGGCATGTGAAATTAAGTGGGACTTGCCAAGCATGACTTGTCCGGCTCAGCATGCCCTCAAGTCTGAGTTACACAAGTGTAAACATAAATTGCAGTTCATCACACTGGAGCTAAACAAAGTATTTTTCGAGATAATCACAAGGTGTGGTGCATTTTAGCTTCAGATATAGATGTTAACAAAAACTACAAAAAAAAACCCATAAAACTGGACTGTTCTATATCGGATTACGTAAAAGTATAGAACATTTGAAAGCAATAGATTAGCAGCCAAAACATCCACAAACTTGTCTCAATTTGGACAAGGGGTATTTTGAAGAGATATCTAAAATTGGAAAGCTGTTATTTTTTTAAATCTTTTTGTTAAAAAAAAGAAGAAAAAAAAAAGAAAAGTGCAATTAAAAGACAAAAGTGAACTGTTCCTGTAAATTGTTCTTATTGCTCACAGTCTGGTACAAAAAAAAAAAAAAGAAAGAAGTGCCACAAACAGAAGTTCCCCCGAGTGCATGTGGTGGTGTTGTGTATATCTTTAAATATCACAATGTACCATCTGAGCTGGCCACACACTGCAGAAGTCAAAGTGGAGAAAGCTATGGTAGGTTGACAGGTTTATGGAGTGGGGAGTGGTGGGAGTAGTAAGAAGTAGAGGAGGAGGGAGGAGGGAGTAGAAAAGTGCTGCTGCTGCTGTTGTTGAAGAAGAATTCAGGTGGTTTTGTCCTCTACCTTGTAACCTAGAGTGGCTTTGTGGGACAATGAGTTGCGAAGGCTGCTGTCCTTGCCTGGTGCAGACGTACGGTCTTTGGTAGTGGACTTGGGGCCTTGTCTACATCCTCCCTCCTGGCTCTCCATGTCTGACGTGTTGCCTGAAGAACTATCCTTTACAGGAACCCAAACAACAAGAAATACATTTAATTCAAGGTAGTCTTCAATGTTAGTGCATATGAAAGTTATTAGTTCCATAAAATAATACCCTATATGAAGCACTGTGGTTTTAAGTAGGGATGCTTCGATACAACATTCTTACGTCCGATACAGGATATTACGACTTACCGATACTTTATGCTGCAGGCATGAGGTGGCAGTGTGCCTGTTTGTGGCATGTAACACAAAATAGTTGAGTAACTGGGCTCAGGTATCGGATCAAAGGGGCTATAGTTATTTATTTTTCAATGACTGATCCTGAAATTTTGACCAATATCGGACTGACCCTGAGTATCCGAACGAGCTATCCCTAGTTTTAAGGTTGGCAAGTAAAACTATAGTGTTAAGTATAATTACAGTAGAACTGCAGAAGCTAACTGTGCTATTTTTTTCCCAGATGCTCTCGTTACAATTTTGACATGTTTGAAATGTTAATGTTTTGTTTTGTTTTAGTGAAAGGCAATTTACTGTAAGGGTTTGTTTAACCTTTGGATGAATGCTTGCCAGTTAAGTTTAAAATTATATTTCATTACTTAGAAAGTAGTTGCAAGAGAGTTATTAGGAACACTTTTTATCGTCAGGGGCGAGAAGAAGTGGCAAGAAGGTTAATTCCTTACAGAAGAGTTCTTGTTCTTTTTTTCATCTTTGCCATCCTCTGCATCATCAGAGTCAGGCTCGGAATCCAAAGCAGGCAGCTCTGGATCCAGTGGAGGCTCATACAGAGCTGTGTTCAACGGTAGGTATCGCAGTTCATTAGTAGAGTATCTGTAAAAGTACATAACAGAAAGACATCAAATTAGCCTCAGAAAGTTCCAGGATAAATGTCAATAAAAAAAAAAAAAAAAACTCTACCCATTTTTAATCTCAGCTTGTACCGTTTAATAGAGGACCTGGTTAAAAGTAGTACCTCTGCCTTATGCAATATCACACATATGTTTGTTAATTATGTAACACTAAAGACGAGGAACTAATTAAAACAGCTCTGAACCGGACACTAGTCTTAATGACAAGGTTGACAGTGATGTGCTGTCAACTCTCGCCAAACATCTGACACTCTTACATATACAGTATGTGTACATGTCTGGCTATATTCCCAATGTAAAAGGATACAAGTATAGTTTACCCAAGTCTAAATACCGTGTAAGAACCACAGCATGAGTTAGCAGTGATATAAACAAGAACTTTTGCCTTCACATTTACATGCTTGTGTATAAAATAGTACCTCAAATAGATATGATTTAACTCTAGTAATATCCTGTCAGCCAAAGCAGTACATTTAGTAATTACCTCTTGTAGTAGTCTTGGAACTGTCCTGGTATAAGTGCTACTGGATAGGGCCCTGTCCTGGTCAGCTCTGGAGTCAGCACTTTGTACTGACCCTGAGGCACCTGGATAATCTAAGAAGAGACACAGAATTATTTTTAAAAAAGTCCCCAATTGCTTTCAAATGTATGCATTTTATTACCTTCGACATCACACATTTTTGTATTTGAGGTAGAACTAACATGTGTCTGGAGGTCAAAGTAGGCTCTCCTCTCTTCCATACGCTCTCGATTAAAGTTAATGTTGAATTCTGCAGCTTTTTTCGCTGCCTTCTTGATGTACTCTGGAACCTTACTGGCCTCCACTTTCTGATGATTCTGCTGCTGCATTTGCTGCAAGACATAACAAAAAAAACAAACAAGACAGACATAAGGAACATTTTAAACAAAGCATTACTTCTTTCTTGTACACAAGGCGATGCGGACTTACAGAATACTCTTTGGCTATTCTCTGTCGCTCTCTCTCCTGCAGGATGACCGAGTATTCAGAATGTTTGGAGGGATACTCTTTAATCATCAGATCGATCACTTCGTCACTCCGCAGAGCTGTTAAACCTGCAAACAATCAACCAATGTGGATAGTAATTGAGTACAAAGTTCGGACCAACATCTTGGCGCAAACGTAAAGACAGTGAGTTTCATTCCTACCCAGAGTGCATTGTGTCTCTGTGATAACATTTTGTTCTCGCAGATAAAGCTTCTCTTTGTGGGACAGATCTCTCCTCTCCATATCTACAACAGGGGGACAACTTTATCATTGCAGTATTATTACAAGAGGAGTAGTTAGTATTGGGTATAACAAAAATATTTACCTGGGTACTTTCGCTTGAAAGAAGTGACACCCAAATATTCGCTGACCTGCTCCTGCAGCATGTAATACTCTCCCGTGTCATCTGCTGGCCACTTGTACTCTGTCAGATTCTCTGCTGGGAAATATGTCAGTCTGAAATTAAAGAAGCAAAAAAAAAAACATGTAAAACTATAGGGGTCCTATAAGTTTCTGTAGGAAAAAATATTTATTTTACAAATTATATAGCAGTAGCAGTAGAAAATATATAGTACAGAAGTTCATATTTGCTGCACATAGAACTTTCTTTTTATATGTACTACCACTTGGAAGTTTGGAATCACTTGCAAACATTATTGTTACCATAAAAAAAAAATCACTTTTATTGCAATCACAAACAATAAAAAAAAAAAGAATCATACGTTTTAAAACTGTCTACATTTGGCAAACAGGGCTTTTATGAGCAATAGCTAACCATGTGCATTCAATTTCTTGCTACTGTTAATCCAAGTAAATCATAACTCATTATAAGAAATTAAGTTTTTGCAGTTGTTACAGCTAATAAATATTGTTCTATTCACAATGGTACAAGACAAATATCTCAAGAGATGGAAAAAATATTTTTGTGGGAGCAACTTGACCGAATGACTTCTCCTTTTCTTCCAACTCACCTGTCATGATGATGTGATGATGATGAGAATACAATGCAGTATTAATTGAAGTAAGTAAGTAAATATTTTTAAAGTAAACATTATTTTTCAGTATGGTAGGTAGTAGGTTCTCAGTCATCCAGGTCAGCTTATCCAAAAATAGACACCTCGAGGGCAACTGGACGGAATAGGTTTCTCGAAGACATTTCACCTCTCATCCAAAAGGGTTCTTCAGCTGAAGAAGCACTACTATAGCAGTACTATATAATAAGGCCAGATAAAGCCAATGTAAACTCAGCAATGTTTCATAGTAAATGATCAATTAAAATATTTAGGTAAATTACGAAAAAAAGCAACATTTTAAATGTATTTTAAAAAAAACTTTAGCGTAGATCATTTAAACTATTTCAGAAAAGTCTATGTTTGGCGTACAGTAAAAAAGTTCACTAACCCAAGATCTTGGCTTGAAGTATCACAACTTCGAGAGCTGTCACCTGAACCCATTCTCTGTCGTTTGGGAGGCTGGCTTCCATCGTTGGACTCTTCTTCTGTAACATCACCCTGCAAATAAATGATAAATTAAAACTAAAAAAAAAAAAAATCAACATTTTGGCACATTTTATTTGCATAAAAGAAAAAAATATCCAAAAAGAAGTCTTTCCACTAGGAAATATTAACACAAGAATTATTAGCATTTATTAGTAATCAGCTTCGCAATGTCATTAAGCTTTGCATGTGGTACTCGAGATTTTCTTTACATAAACTCTGTATATTTGTTTCCTGTTTGATAAAAACAAAACAAACAGTAACAGCAAATTCGTGTGTAAGGGGATGAATTCCTGTCCCACAAAGCCTCCACAGGCAATGTTTTCTTGAATATGTATTGTTACTGTTAATCAACCCGAAAGAAAATCTGTTACACAAAATCTGTTGAAGTGCAGCCCTCACGGCCCAAGTTTAGCAGCATAAAGTTCTTAGTGTTTAATGTGGTGCTGATTATTTCTAGGTTATTAAACATTTATGTATATATAAACAAGCAAATACCTCCCCCAAATACTTATATTTGAGGAGGTGTGATGGCGAAATGGGTTTTAAATATATTTAAAATAAGCTACAAGCCAGCACTATCTTACATTCAATATGCATGGCGCAAGTGTCCCATTTTCTCTAGAACGTAAAACAAACTTGTTATGAGGCACTTTAACGTCTAACTTTTAATTTAATTTAATTTTTATTCTGATTTAACAGCAAATGGTTTGTTGATAAGATGATATTGTTAAAAATAATCAGGCGTAACCAACACGATTCACAGGAAAACGATAAATACAGTTGTTTCTATTGAAACCGTGCGCAATTTAGAATGTACAGATGGACAGAGAGTCGAAGATGTGAGTATACGTTTTATTTTAAAAAGCGTATCAGAAACACAAAGCGGTCTCCTGGTGTCCACAAAACATAAATACAAAAGAAAGACGCTACCGTTACTAAGTACATGGGACCGTCGCGGCCGCGACTCGGTCACTTAGCTTTCAGACAGGCATTCGGCTACCAACTGTGGAAAAATGATATTATGAGTTAAAAGTCACCTTCATCGACTGTGCAACTGGTGTAGCGGGATTGCTGTCGGACGGCGGTCTGATATTAACCACAGCTGCCATATTTCATCGATTAACGCAAGCAGTCGATTGGACTTAGCTTCTTCCTGACACGGTCATGGCGCGATACACAAAAGTACGGAGCAGCAGTGCGTAGACAAGGCATTGACTGCACAAAGTGCGTCAACGACGCCGCCATATTGTGATAGTCATTGTTGCGGAAGAGTTGCACAAAACGAATCGTTTAGCATGTTCACGTGGACTTATTACATGACAAATTGCTAAAATATATGTCAATTTGGACGAATGGCACTTTTATGTATATGAGAATATACATATACACAACTAAACTAAATAGCTATGTCAGAGACACGTTATTTCATTTGATAACATGCAAGTAGCACAATTAAAATGCTTAACAAACGGTAAAACTAACAAGATTTAATTAATTAACAAATTAACGGTAAAAACAAACAACTACAAACAGATAGATAGATAACTGTACATCAATAAACACAATATATTTCTTTAACACATGGTGTAATGTAGAGTTCAATATATCACACTATAGATAGACTATTTGACGATTTGTACTCCAGAACGTCAAATACCTCAGCTTAAAACATCTATCACACTATAGATAGACCATTTGTACTCTAGAACGTCAAATACCTCAGCTTAAAACAGATACTGTACTTACATAAAGGAGTCTATTAAAAGCAGGGACAACACTGACTTACCAGGTGTCATTTAAAATGTAGAGAACTGTGTAAGCCCTGCTGTTATACAATGTCATATTGACTGTAATATCATACTACTGCAATTTCCCCTTTTGGGCTCTGGCCCTTAATAGGTGCTAGAGCATTCCTTTATACTAAAACTAGCCATTTGCTGATTGCTAAACCAACCATGATAGTCTACATTCTTATACTTAATTCAAAAACAATTTAGCGCTATACTTAGCCGAACAACAGACAAATAATTTCAGTGTGCATACATTTCACATTTGTCTTTTGTTTATTTCTGCCTTGGGCACCACTGTGTTTGCTTTGTTCAGGCTATTATCATTGTTAACACTAAAGTTTAATTCTATGTTTGTGTACAAAATGTTTGATTGCAGTCGAAGTGCTAACGTTTGGAAGTTAATACGCAGTTGTACAGGATTTCAGTGTTGCCCAGCTGGTGCATTATTAACCAGAATGTTTTGCTATTGTTACATAATCACTCTTTTTTAAATTATAATTTAGAGTTTATATAAAATATTATAGCCATATCAGAATAAAACAAGAAATGGAATCAGGTGTTCCCTACATGTTTAATATAATTAAAGATTGTCTTATTTGCTTTCTTTTTCTCTATTGCAATAACACAACTGAACAGCCCTACAGTTGACATATTTTAGTTAAATGTTAAAAGATTCTAATTCTAGATGTGTAATGTCAATTTCTGATGTGTAATTCTTAGCACTGTTAAATGTTAAAAGATTCTAATTTTCAATTTCTGATGTGTAATTCTTAGCACCTCTCTTTTCTTTAACAGGGCCTTTATACATTTGAGTGGTGGAGACTCTATTCCCCAATATGGGTGTGCTGTGCAAAATAAAGTTCATTAAACAATGGTTTGAAATAATGTTGTTTGAGCTTTGACATAAGTTACACTCTAATATAAAAACATCTTCACGTTTCTAATCTGTTTCCTCTTTGTTCCGCCTCTCTCGCTCCGCGCTGGGTGGCGCTACTTTTATTTTGAAATAACAAACCTCATCGGAAGCGAATAAGAATCTGCTTTTGAGTTTATTTTACGGGATTTTAAAACCCTATTTTCATAGCTAATAACGCATCTGTTAACTTCTCCTATTATCCCTGTTCCGCCACAGTGGCGATGTCGGAGTCTTATGGTAAGAATTTTATACACGTATCGTTCACTTGTTTTGTCGCAGATGGTGATAGTGAGACAATTGTTTTCTAACCCTGTACATAGCAACCAGTCTGGTATTCAAGCATACATGCATAACCAAATGCTTAAAATGAGTATACGTATACAACAAATGTATTTGAAATAGTCGTGGGAAAGGCTCGAATGATGGACAGCAGTAAATTATGCTACTGACAGTAGACCGGGGTAATTCAATTCAAAATCACGGACCGATTACATTTTCTAAAGTAAGCCTTCGAAAAACCGCACCCGTCAATATAATAGCAGTGACTATACCTAATATTTCCGCAATGTTTTATGTTTTTCTTTTCTTTTTCTTTTAATCTGTTTTCTATATCAAATGCAGACGGGGATTTGAAATGGCTGCTTTACAAAACCCTCTGGGAACCTTCCCCCTTTTTTATTTCTGTGTGTGTTGTCTGTTTATGATGATGATGTTGTTGCCATGTTTGCTAAGATTTATTTTTGTGCTTGCATTAGTTGTCTATACCAATTTGCCTATTTATAAAGACAAGCTTTATTATGGAAAGGATGTGGATGTAATGTACTGTGTTATCTTTGTAACACATACAACCTAGTTTTTGCATCTTTGTTTTTTTCTTTCTTGTTATGAAATAAAAACCTAATAAAAACACTGAAAGACAAAAACATGATTTTTTTTACTTTTAAGGTCCTAATTGGATTTTGTCTGTTTTCTCATTTAGAAAACAACCATCCTATTAGTGACCTCTACTCCAAATATATATAATATATATAATATAATATATATGTATATATATATATATAAATATATAATATATATATAAATATATAATATATAATATATATCTGTTATATCCAAATTCACTCAATAGTATTGACTGTTCACACAGAAAAAAATGTTCACTAATGTATTAGCTGACAACAAATGAGTAGGCTGAAAGAAAAAAAATATATAATAATGAATAATTACACACAAACTACAATTAGTTGAAGAATAGAGATACATGGAAATAGCTAACAGCTAATGGCATGGACACACTGTTAAACTTATGGCCAGTCTTTTGCTTGGCTGCAGAGGTTATACATTTTAACTGAGATTTGATTCCTTTTGTTTTCCTATTTTGTGTAATTGATATTTTTTAATGTTTCCTCCTCAGATTTCCTGTTCAAATTCTTGGTGATTGGAAATGCTGGAACAGGCAAATCATGTTTACTGCATCAGTTCATAGAGAAAAGGTGTAAGTAAGAAATCATTCGTGTGGTATTGCACAAAATATAAGAATAAAACCTTTTGTAACCCAATCATTGCAGCCAATTTAATAACTGAATAAAATTAAGTAACATAAAATAAAATAGTTACATCCATACATCCAGCGGTCCCCAACCTTTTTTGTTCCAAGGACTGGTCAGCCAGAACCACCCATTAAAATTTCAAAATAAAACCTCTTTTAGACTCAATTCTGTTTGTATCAGAGTCTGAATTACATTGTATTCTAAAATTTCGCCAGATTCTCTTTAAATAAAGGGAGGAAAAGAAGTAAATAAAGGAAGTAAATTGATATAAAAATTAAGTACATTTTTCACTGTGTCCCACTGTGCCCCAGTACCAAATGACCTATAGACTGGTACTGGTCCTGGTCCGTGGACCTGGGGTTGGGAACCCCTACAGTGTCCTTGGGTGACTTGAAAGGCGCTTATAAATAAAATGTATTATTATTATTATCTATAGTCTTCCATTTACAACCTGCCCTTCAAGGGGAACTGTATTGAAAATTAGTTTGACTGTGGATCATCAATATCCATCATCATGTTGCATTCAAAATGATATCTTTCTATGTTGTCCTTTTTACAGTTAATGATGATTCCAACCACACCATTGGAGTAGAATTTGGTTCCAAGATTGTCAGCATGGTCAATAAAACAGTCAAACTGCAGATTTGGGACACAGCTGGACAAGAAAGATTCAGGTAGAATAATGGTTAAAACTTTACATATGTGTCTTTTTTTTTTTTACAGAGTTACGTAATGTGATCTTATCATTATCACATGTATCACATATCACAACTATAATAGTCCACAGCCAATAGTAAAATGTGTTCCGACTGTATCACGTTTGTTCATTATGACAAAATTAGGTTTAAAATGAAGCATAGCATAGATGTTCTGTATCCGATGTGAATGTTTCTGTTGAACATACATGTAAAGGAGAAAAAAAAAAAAATTCCAATACTCAAATCAAACCACTCAAACCACTTTTGCCTAATCCCCCTAAACAAAAAATGTGACATGTTTAACATGATGATATTTTAAACTTCAGCTGCTTCTCGAAAAAAAAAATAAATTCTGCAATAAAACAAATATTAGAGCAACGATAAGTTGATGGATGGTGGAATTATTGAGTTAACAGTACATGTCGGTCTGGCCATGCTTTAAAACTGTGTCAGTATTTGGAATCAGATTAATTTTCACAAATTATTATGATTACAGCATTCATTTTGACAGCCCCTATTTTTTTTTTTTTTTTCAAAAAAGCTTTTGAAGTACCGTTGTCAATGCATGTTTGCACCTTATAGAACAACAAGTCATTTCCTATTTTGTGTATGGGTTTGTTCCAGGTCTGTGACCCGGAGTTACTACAGAGGAGCAGCGGGGGCCTTATTGGTTTATGATATTACAAGGTAAAAAAAAAAAAAAGCAGATTTCACTTTACGCTCTGTGTCAGTACTGTCATATGCTGCCATTTCTTGTCTTCATGTTGCTTTCTGTCTCCTCTTGTGTATCTGCCCCTATAGTCGAGAGACATACAATGCTTTGACAACATGGTTAAGTGATGCCAGAATGCTGGCCAGTCAGAACATTGTTGTAGTCCTCTGTGGTAACAAAAAGGACTTGGACAGCGAACGAGAGGTCACGTTTTTGGAGGCCTCACGTTTTGCTCAAGAGAATGGTAAGGTTTAATTTACCTTCTGCATTTCATTTCTCTTAAAGAAACAGTTATATTTTCAATACACAACACATTTCAGTTGTCTTTCTTTTATGTTTTACCGTAATTTCCGGTCTATAATTCAATACTTTTTTTTAACACGCTTTGAATCCTGTGGCCTAAACAATGGATTTGTATGGGCTAATGAATTTCATATTGCTAGCAATCAATGACTTTCCTGGTAGGCTATTATGTGTTATGCTGGTAGCGTATGTCTGTCTGTGACCGTATATGTGCGAGGGGTGCACGAGAGAGTGAACGGTAGTGAAAGTTGAGAGCAGTTTGAGCTGATGTTACAACCTGCGGCTATATACAGTATGTACAATTATTATTATTTTTTCTTTTTAAATAGAATAGAATAGCCTTTAGTGGTGCTTTGGCCCAGAGGCCATGCCCTGTTATTGGTGTGGAACCCCAGGGTTCACCTCCTTAGTGTGGTTGGTACCTTCCAGTAGACTCACCACCCGCAGGAAGGTACGGTGCAGTGTGATTAGAGTGGATGGATAAGTGGATGAAAATGGATGGATGGATGGATAAATGAAAGGTTATCTTTATGCATCACGTGTGTTGAGAATGTAGAAACATTGCTCAAAGGATGATTAAAAACAATAATTCGGAGGAAAGAAGAAATTTAAGTACGGTAAATACGGACGTTGTTTCCGTTAAACTTGCTGTAACTTCCTGTTAGATAAGCCAAGGTGCACCAACGGTAAATACGGATGATGTTTCCGTTAAACTTGCTGTAACCTCCTGTTAGATAAGCCAAGGTGCACCAAACCCATACATTACATGTCAAATCAAATCTTTAATATAAAAACAATGGCAGTTATTTGTGCTTGTGTGTCAGAGCTGATGTTCCTGGAGACCAGCGCTCTCACAGGTGAGAACGTCGAGGAGGCTTTTGCACAGTGTGCTCGGAAAATCCTTACAAAGATTGAGTCAGGTAAGACCTCTGCTCACCTCACTTTGTCTCCTCTGAATTCTGAAAATTCGGGAAAAGGACAATTTGAGTTTTAAAAAGGCTGCTAATACTTGACAACACTGGTGTTTTTGCTCTAATTCCTTGTGTGATTTGACCCTTCTGACACATCTATAAGACATTGTATGCTAATCTGTACTGGACAAATGTTTTCTATATATATATTGTCTCTTCACCAGGAGAGCTGGATCCAGAAAGAATGGGGTCAGGTATTCAGTATGGCGATGCTGCGCTACGACATCTACATGCTTCCCGCCGGGCTCAGCCTCAGGTCACGCAGGAGTGCGGATGCTAGCGAGCTGCCCTGCGATGCCAGAACTAGGGGTAGGGCACTGAGAGTTGGTCTGTAACACAGTACAGTGTTCCCTCTCTATATTGTGGTTCTCCCTTTGCTCCCTCAGTACATCGCAGTTTTTTTTTTTGATTCAAATCTCACGGGAGTTTTGCTATATCGCCGGAATTTTATTTTTTTAAATTTTCAATATTTTCAATTTTTTTGTGACCATTCGTATCATTTTCTAACCTAAAACAAAACAGTAAAAATATAGCAAAAAAATAAACTAAAATAATAATAATAATAATAAATTTTATTTAAAAAGCGCCTTTCAGGACACTCAAGGACACTTTACATAAAATAAAATAAAAACAGATAATAATTTAAAACAGGGCATAGAAACACGTTTAAAATCAATGATAAACAAAAGCACGTGATAAATAAATAAAAGATAAAAAAGATAAATAAAATAAAATAAATTAAAATTAATTAATAAATTAAAATAAAATAAAAAATAAAAAAAAGATAAATAAAAGATTAAAAAATAAATAAAAATAAATAAATAAATAAAATTAATAAAATAAATACTACATAAATAAAAGCACGTAAGATAAATAAAAGACACCGCTGGTAGCTTCGTTTACCTAGAGGAGCTCAAACGCAGCATTGAGCACGCTCTTCTGTTCCTTACGCTGATTGGCTCATGCGTCGTAGCATCTCTCAGCATCTCTCCTTGTCGACATGAGAGGGATCACTGTACTTTCTTTAGATTTTTTTGTGTTGATTTTCTTACATGACTTGATTTAATATTTACTTTCCAGTGTGTACCAAAAACACATTGGAAGCTACTTGTGTAGTTGAAGAAAAGTTCCAAGCATACATTTTACTAATGTTTTGTGTGTGTGTGTGTTTGTTTCAGGCGGGTTTTTGAAGCTCAGGAGCAGAATCGTGAACCTAGAACCATGGAAATACGTGGTCCATTAGTTTGTGCTGTTTGACTCATCTTTGACCTGTTTTCTCCTTTCTCTCCCTGGGTCTTTATGAGGAACTGTACTGATTGATTAACAAAAAAAAAAAATTTAAATTAGTGTTTAAGTCAAAATGGCCAGAGGTAAGTTGATGTAATTAAGACGCTCATGCAGTACTATACTGTTTTAGCAGTAGATTTGCACACCCATCGTCTCTTTATCAAGCGGAGTATTAATTATGAAAGAATATATTCATTTAAACATTAACTTAATTTTTAGATTGAAATAGATTTCCAAAAGACCAATTCAACATGGAAGTCAAAACTGAACTTTTTGAGAGCTAAGTCACATGTAGTTAACAATAATCATGCACACTATTAAAGTTACAAAAGACTCGTAGCTGGTATTCATGGTTCAGATTACACCATTACACTGGTATATATTTTTCTTCCCCAAAAGTGTCAATAAAAAAACAAAAACAAAAATACTTTTATTTAAGTAATACTTGTATAAATAAATTATATGTAAAGGTCTTGGCACCTGACAAAGTGAAACGGCCACACCCATCCACAACTGTTCAGACCTGGTTAAAAATATACACTATATGACCAAAAGTATTGGCTCCCCTGCCTTGACTCCTACTATGAACTGAAGTGCCATCCCATTCCTAACCCAGAGTTCAATATGATGTCGGTCCACCTTTTGCAGCTATTACAGCTTCAACTCTTCTGGGAAGACTGTCCACAAGGTTGAGGTTTGAGTGTTTATAGGAATTGTTGACCATTCTTCCAAAAGATCTTTGGTGAGGTCACACACTGATGTTGGTGGAGAAGGCCTGACTCTCAGTCTCCGCTCTAATTCATCCCAAAGGTGTTCTATCGGGTTCAGGTCAGGCCATAATTCGTGTCTGGGTTTGGAGGTTGCCAGGAGAACGGTCCATTTCAGACTGCATTGTGCCGACTGTGAAATTTGGTGGAGGAGGAATTATGGTGTGGGGTTGTTTGCGCTTTTGGAAGAATGGTCAAAAATTCCTATAAACACTCAAACCTCAACCTTGTGGACAGTCTTCCCAGAAGAGTTGAAGCTGTAATAGCTACAAAAGGAGGACCGACATCATATTGAACTCTGGGTTAGGAATGGGATGGCACTTCAGTTCCTAGTATGAGTCAAGGCAGGTGAGCCAATACTTTTGGTAATATAGTGTATGTCCTAAAAGAATACATCAATTACCAGAGCACAATCTTTTAAAAAAAAAGTGTCCCTAATGTCCTGATGTCCTGAAGATGGACACAGATAATATGATACTATACCTCTGTGTCTTTCTTCCAGTTATTCCCTCGCATTATTTTCTGTACTGTGTACTGTATCCATACCTTAACACCTGTCTTTTATGCCTGCCAGTCTTTTTCTGTCCAAAATATTCCCGAATCTCTATTCCGTCACATTTTTTGTACAATCCTTGTTTTAACAGTGTTTTTGAAGCATGTATTCCTCTAACACAGCGATTCCCAACCGCCGCATGTCCACATTAGCGGAAGTTAGAGATTTGTTCTGAAAACTATTATTCATTTACTGCAAAAAAAAAAAAAAAAAAAAATGTCTTTGTCTATGCAGCACTGAAAGGCAGAACAATTAAGTACTCTTCAAATAGGTGGCAACCGAAGGCTGTAGAACCTACAAGAAGAGAGACTTCCTGTATTTTTCTTCAATTCCTTGCGAGTGTATCAGTGTTCAACTAAACAGGCACCGGTATCACAATGAGTCGGCAAATTGCGAGTGAATAGAAATAAGAAGATCATTTTGATTCTATAAATATACTTTTTGGGACTTTTTTTTTTTTTAACCGTGCGCTATGGTATTTTTCTAATGTAAAGTGTGTGTTGTGGTTAAAAAAAAAAGTTGGGTAACGCCTCACAGAAATCAGAGTATTTATTTATTAGAAGTCAGCTACTAGATATACTAAAAGTCTTAAAATGAAACGGTAAAATAAACAGTATAAGATCTCCAGTGTCTGGTGCTTGCGGCATTATATTAAAATGTGTTGTTAGAAATGCTAAGCAGCACAAAAGGGCCGTACTGTTTACACCTATTTTTATTTATCTGTAAATGAGCTTGATTGATTTGTCGACTAACACATTAAACATATAGAGGTTTTGATACGTGCCTGCGACATTCTTGGTCGTCCTCATGTCCTTTGTGTTTACAACGTACAACGTAACATTATTTTGTTTGTCTTTGTTTACTGTTGGAAGCCAAGAAGAAGAAGCCCTATTTTGTTATTTGTTGTGAAGAGCAAAAACATCAAGAGTTCCGCTGTACAGCATTTAATACAAATTTAAAAAAAAAAAGAAACCTCTGTTAGAAGCCTTAAGATTAATTTGGCCAGTACCCCATTTTTTATGTCATTATTAAAGAATAAGAATACTTTCCCCACGTGACAAATTTAGTCCAATGTACCAATATTTCCACCATATCGCTTTAGTGCAAGTCCATATACAGTGGAACCTCGGTTTTCGAATGTAATCCGTTCCTGAAGGCTGTTCGTGAACCGAACAGTTTGAAAACTGAAACAATTTTCCCCATATTATTCAAACTTTTTCAACAGTATCTTGTGTACAGGTTCATAAACCTTCCACTTTCTTGAGCTTTTTTAGGTCCCATGGTGATTGAATAATAATAAATTCATGCTTTATTTCCACAGTCATCATGCGTTTCTTCATCTCTACCAGCCTTACCACTCACTTTCTTAGGACTCATCACTATTATGAAAACTAATGCACAAAATAAAGAGAAAATCTTTAAAACAATTTAATACATTTGATTTTACACCATAAAACATGTTTCTTTGGATGTTCCAATGAGGGTACACAAAAACATCGATAAAATCTAATTCTCATGAACCATTCCGTTATTTTCAAATAAAAAAAAGATCTTTGTTTTTCCAAAAACATTAAAAAAAAAACATCTATCAAAAAGGTTAGTTTTGACGATCACAGACTTCCAAAATGATGGGTTTTTTTTTCTTTTTTTTTTTCCTGTTTTCACTTCACAGAATTTCGCTGGGCTGAACTTGGGAGTGAACAGAGAAGCAATGCATGTACTCTGTAAGCCAGGGGTTGAACTCAGTTTTTAGTAGTTGCCTGCCTTTGTCCCCAATGGCTGACTTGCGTCTCTCTGTCCTCTTGGTAGAGATCTGCCGCTCAATCTGCCGCCTGGTCTTGGCTCGGAGAGCTGACTCATGGATCTAACAGAAAATAGAAACACGCTCTGTTAACGCCGGTGCTCAGGTTCATTACGGTAGATGTCAGGCCTGCTTCCTAATATCTTATCTTAGACTTAATGTTCCGTATTGTGTTTGCGTTATCTACGTGATTTTCTCTTTATTTTGTGCACTCGTTTTCATAATAGTGATGAGTCCTGAGAAAGTGAGTGCTAAGGATAAGGTAGAGATGAAGAAACGCACGATGACCATGGAAATAAAGCATGAAATTGTCAATAAATATGAGCCTCTCTCGAACATACATCCAGCGGGCGAACATCGGCCCACTAGTTGGTTCAATATGGGCCGCTTGATGAATTTTTAAAGAAAAAAAAAAAAAAAAAGCACTACAACTTCATGTTTTGTCAAATGACGTTGACGCCCCTGTTTGACACCCCTGTTTTAGACACTTTCTATGAAGTTCTCTATAATTGTGTGCAAAAGGTCAGATTTTTTATTTTATTTTTTTACAGGAGAATTTTGCTAAGCTAACTTTGCTGATATTTAATTCCACTTGGACTGAAAAAAAACAAACAAAATTAATTCAATGCAAAAATTGTGACCCCCCTAAAAATTTCAGCTTTTAAATTTAAAATTTGACAAACATCACTTTTTTTTTTAATCTCAGGCAGTTCTTAGTGGTAGCGCCACACTTTGGGAATCCCTGCTGTAAGATTAATGAAACATAAAGCTGTTGAACAGCTTTCCTTCAGCATTGTGTTCAACTAAACAGGCCCGGGTTTCACAGAGGTAAATTGTTAGTAAATTGAATTTAAGAGATTATAGTTCATTACAAACCTTTTTTGTGAAGTGTTTATTCATGTTGTAGGATTTTTCTAACATAAAAGACACGTTGAGGCTCATGAACGCTTCAAATTATTATTGGGTGACTGTGTCAGTTTGGTGGCACAGAGGAGCTGAAGAAAGGCAAAAAACATTTCAAAGTAAACATACCTGATTAGTTGACATGGCAGGGCCGACATTGTGGGTTTTTCTGTCGCTGATATCTGTATTCAACTGCCCGGAAGCGTACAGAGCAAATGAGTGTCTGCTCTTTTTACTGTCCCCTCTGTTCTGCTGGGCTGGTGCAGTCCTGACATGATGACGGGGGTGCGATGGATGTTTTGAAGATGTGGGAGCTGTGGCCTGTTGCGTCTGCTGGAGTGCGTGTCTCTCTACAAACCGAAAAAAAAAATAGCAATATTAACAGTTTTCTCTATGTCTCTATGTCTCACAGTACTAGATAAAGCAACGTTAGGGAGCACCTCGACTAGAAAACAAATAAATATTAGTAATAATAAATACACTTTGCAATGTTGCTTTTTTCGTGATCTGTTTTCCATAATTTTGTTATAATTATATTATATATTATTTTAGAATTATTACATATGTTTAACAAATAGATAACAGATAGACACGTTTATATATTTGATCATTTTTATACCGGTGATAATGACTAGAGATGTACTGACTGCAATTTTTTGACAAATTCCAATTTGTTCTGGAATGAGGTACTGAGAATACTTGAAACAGCTCCGATAACACTATGTTTAAAAAAGCAAATTTTGAAAAAAAATTTTAAAATTAAATTTTTTAAAAAATTTTAATTTAAAATTTTAAACATTTTAAAAATTTTATTTAAAAACAAATTTTAAAATAAAATTTTAAAAAATTAAAAAAAAGAGAAAAAGTTGGCTCGGTTCGGGCTCCCGAGTATAAGTCGTCACAGCCAAAAAGAAAAAAAAAAAACATATACATGCCAGTCTAAGCTCTCTCTCAGTTGCCCCATGAAATAAATAATTTTTTCTGAGTCTGCACCAGACTGTTGTGTACAATTAAACTTTTTTAAATTAGAGATGTTTGTAAACTAAAGTAGACTCCATACATGTTACTGATCTTTAACTAGTTCTTTCTATTATTTTCTATTCTCACTTACCGGGAGGTTTATTTCTGTTAGGAAAGGATAACTTTTTGCTGCCTCTTCCGCTCATTCTTTCCTCTCCCCTGACCTCTTCTTCCTCCTCTGGAACTCTTGTCTCTTTTTCACCATCACACGGAGAACCTTAAGGAATAAATGATGCACGCATACACATGTATAATTCTTAACCAAAGAAATCAGACAAACTGGTCGATGTAAAAAACCAATGTGATAAAATGCTTCTTTTTACTCAGTTATTTCATGAGAAAATGATGGAGTGCTTCTTGTATAAACCAGGGTTCACAACATTGTACCTGGCGGCACCTGTTGTACAAATAAAACCAGTCAGGAATGTCAAAACGTGTACAGTGATAGTACAAGACACGAGATTCCTGAAATACAAGTATTCCATGTTACGAGTCTGCAACTTTTGCAAGATTTTCCAAGTGATAGTAATATCTAGAAAGAGTGCTCTGATGCCAAAGCAGCTGCGGAGTTCGTCACTAACTTTTAGTGTTTAATAAAATAAAAAAATAAAAAAAATCCTTCTATGCTTAGTGGCCCTGACACTTTGTCGCGCTCACTATCCCTCGTTTGGTTAATTTACCTTTTTTATAACAATGATATAAAATGTACTCTTAATTATTATTATTTGATACTATCATATTTGTTTATATCTATGTTTTTGATGTTTAGATAGAGGGAAAAAAATAGTATAGTATGGTACAAATTCATCAGTTACATGTGTAATGATCTTAAAATGGGAGCAAAAGACGATGGTAAAAGGAGTGTCTGCTATTATATGTCCCAGAACTTGACGGAACTGCCTTAGTTTTCTTTTTAATTATTATTTCATATTACTAAGTGCCCTTGAAGTATACATTTGGACCCTCGGGCATTGAGTTTGACACGTGTTATTTATATAGACGATGTTAATTCAGTATTTTTTCCCCCAGGAAATGAAAAAAACGAACAAACAAAAAACAGTACAAACCGAGTTGACGTTGTTATTCAAACGTCGGCATGACACGGGCCATTATATCATATTCAATTCATATTTCACAACAATTTACCTGTAGTTTTCCGCACAGACAATTCGTTCTCCTGCTCTTGTTCCTGCAAAAGTAACCGTGGTATAGTCTTAGCCCCCCCACAATGCACCTGCTCAGCCTCGACTTGGTTTTGACCAGCAGACGGGGTTTGCTTTATCTCCACCGACTCCGAGTCACTATCATCTTGTCCATTCCAGAACCAGGGAATGTGTGCCTGCTCAAGTATCCTGCGGCTGATCCTATAAATCAGCATCTCCTCATAACACTTTCTGAATGTCTCCCATTTTGGGTCTTTGAATTTCTTCATGTACTCCGAACGTATAGTTCTGCACGCCATCTTTGATTGAGCTGTAGTTTAAAAAGCCTGGGGTTTAACGCCACAACGTTCGCAGCGCCACGGCCTGACGTTTAAATCACAACAAAACCTCATTTGAACATCCGTTGAGAAGCTCACGCGAGGACCCGCCCACTGCACAGGTATTTTCAAAATAAAAGCGGAGCTGAGGAAAACTATTTACGTTGTGGACGGAAGCATTCTAGTGGTGGGAATGGGTCTCTTTGGCTGGATCATTTGGCTCGGCTCATCAAGTTCATCTCTTCATAGTTAGCTGGATCATTTGGCTCGGCTCATCAAGAAGAGCTGGCTCTTTCGGCTCCCAAGCGGCTCTCCATTTGATCACTTATACCTTTATAATTCAGTCAAACGTAGCGCAGTTTTGACATGTGATTTGTATTTGAACATATATCACTTCAATTTTAATAAATTGCTGTAGCCAATTGCATTTACAGTTGCAAAATCCCTTGTGGCGAGACATGGGTGATAGGCAGTGACGTGCGGTCAGGGGAGGCAGTGCCTCACCTGCCATCGCGATAAAAAAGGAGAAAAAAAGTACATAAAATAAATATTAATATTTTCCACTGATCTGTGTTAAAGATGCATTTTCAGTATGACTGGATGATACTGTGACCGAAAACATTTGCAAAGAGGCCTCAGCAGACATGAAAGATCAGCCACGAACATTCAAAGCCAGATTTCTTTAAAAAACTTCAAGGACTGATTTGGCATTGGATGAGCAACGGAGGCTAGACATTAGCATCCAAAATGCTAAGGTGAGGGAAAGCCGAGAGATACAACAATGGACTTCATCTATAAGTAAAGGTAGGGCTAAAAATGGTTTTTGTTTTTTTAAAAATAAGATGGGAGTAAGTAGGAAAAAAATTCAAGTATTCGATAACTACATTTGTGGCCTAAAATATATATTTTTTCTTATCAAATTGATAAGACAATCTTTGATTAAAGCAGCAGAATTTTAAAGTTTAAAAAAATAAATAACTGAATTTGTCACTACTGGCGAGGGAGGTTGACCTTCTCTCCAGCCTTTGCAAACCGCATGGGACGTCTTGCTGAGGTGGAAGGTCTGCTGTTGGCCTCGTGTCTGCATGCCTCTGCCACCTCGGCCAGCTTCCTCAATACCAGGCCGTAGCGCCACCTGTAGCGGCCTTGGGACAAAGCAGTCTTGCAGCCCAACAAGATGTACCGGGGGTTTGCATTGACGGTGGTGCACAGGACTCTTCTGCACCAAACCAGAGGTGGAGATTTCAGGGACAAGCCAGGGTGTCGTAGGAAGACCTGATCAGGAAGCTGAGCCTCGGACCACGACAGGGGCCTGTCTGTAATGCCTACCCAAGACATCCTGCCACTCTGTCGGCTTTCAGGCACTGCTTTAAAGTTAAGGCGTTCCAGCTCAGTCCTCGTCACTTACTGTAAGACACATCACCAGTAGTGGACCACCATAATTTACAATATTACAGTACTGTTTTAAAACAGCTGTAAAATCACAGGGACATTAGACATAGGCATTGGAATTGCATACACATAAGTTCAGAGGCTACATGCACAAGTTTTATGACTACAAATGACGCTTATTTAGTTAAAGTTCTGTTTTAAAACAGCTGGAAAATTCGGAGGCTACATGAGCAAGTTTTATGACTACATGAAAACGACAATTCCTCACAGTATTAGCTATTCGAACTGCATTCAGACACAATCTCATGCACGTGGCAAGTTGAAATTATTTCACTGTCAAACCTATGCATTGAATACTGGTCATATAAAGTATTAAAATGTCAAGAAACTAGCCTTGTTTAATGGTCCGGTAGCAAACTATGTCTTGTTTGCATTCGCAAATAGGCCGATGTACGCATGCGCAGTTAACTCGGGTAGGAAAAAACTATAGGTAGGGAAAAAACTTCAGAACAGCGGACAGATAAGGGGAGATGCTGAGAGATGCTACGACGAATAAGCCAATCAGTGTGAGAAACAGAGATCATGCTCAATACTCCAGATAAACAAAGCTATCAACAATGTCTTTTAGTTTATTTTTTTCTGTTTAAATTTATTAGGTCAGAAAATGTTTTTCAGTACGAAAATATTAAAAATGTTGGATTTTTAAACTTGTATTATTAACTGTAATATACCGCGAAATCTGCGATGTTCTGAGGGAGCGAAAGGAGAACCGCGATATAGAGAGGAAACACTGTGTATAAATAATAAGAGAACTGCAAGTTGTATATTACTTTATTTAGTACTTTAATGTGTTTTATATAAATGTCATTCGTGCAGATCTTAAAAATAAAGAAAATATAATGTTACGTTTTTGTGTTCTTTCCAAAAATACTGTGCTCAAACATAAAAATAAAATAACAATTACTTTAATTATTGACAACAGAAAGGGGAAAAAGTCACAAACTGTTTCTCAGAAACCCTGCCTCACTGCTGTCCTCTCTAGGCTCCAAAAATCATGTCTGAATATTAGGGTGAGAACAGTGACTGGTTCTTATCAGGACACACGGTTTGACTGACCGAGTTTGTGCTTTGGTGGGTTATACATGCTCACACAAAGAACTTTCCTGATGGTCTGAAGGTTCCTTCTTGTTTCTGGGTCCACTGCATTGACAGCATGATCTTCATGAGGTTCAGGACTCCCACCTGTGGAGAGAAGACAACAGACACCAGAGGAGACAGGTCATTGTCACATCCAGGACAAAGAGCAGCAGAGACCTGGGTCCAGTCCAGAGCAGAGGAGCAGCAGCTTCATCTGCATTGAAGTTAGACATGAATGATGAAGATTTACTCTCACTGTTGTCACTTTACGTTTGACTCTTCATACTTTTACAGTCAGGACTGGAAACAATTGGTTTGTATCTGCACCTTTTCTTTTCTACATGTTCGCAAATGTTTGTTAACATCTGCACAGTGATACATTTTGAGGACGAAAGGGATGTCAGAACAATACTGAGGAGAAGATGACCCTTTATACTGACTTCAGATCCTCCAGTCTGTAGTTTGGACTCTTCACTAGATCACACAGAGCCTCCACTGATGAATCATGAAGGTTGTTGTCACTCAGGTCCAGTTCCCTCAGATGGGAGGGGTTGGACTTCAGAGCTGAGACCAGAGAAGAACAGCCGATCTCTGACAACCTGCAGTTCACCAACCTGAATAAAGAAGAAATTTCTTGAATTTAGTGGATTATTAAACATGTATTACAGATATGTATTATTAAATCAGCTATGATTTAATACAATTAAATCAGACAAAATTATAATATTTGACTTTAGATCAGATTATATTCTGTTGGAAACAAACTTCACTCAGCAGATTCAAAACCAACAACCCAGTGGAGCAGTGGTGGAAAGTCCGACATTAAGTCTGTTCATCTGAGTGTGACGATGTACCAGCTTCACTTTGACATTTACAACAGTAACAGTAACAGTCAACTCACCTCAGAGTCTCCAGTTCACAGAGTGGACTCTGAAGAAAACCACACAGAGCCTCCACTCCTGAATCATGAATGTTGTTAAAGCTCAGCTCCAGTTTCCTCAGATGGGAAGGGTTGGACTTCAGGGCTGAGAACAGAGAAGAACAGCCGATCTCTGACAACCCGCATTTCCACAACCTGAATAAAGAAGAAAAGACAAAGAGAAAAGTTAATTTACAATAATATGTAATCGGTGTGTGTTGATCTAGAGAAGTATTCTTTGAAAAAAAGGGGAAGACGTTGTGTTCAGTTACTTCGTATAAGGGTCACCAGAGGGCGCTATAGAATGAGCAGAGAGTAAATGAAGTTGCTGGAGAAGAAGAATTGTTGTACGGAAGAATGATAATAAAGATGTTGCTGTTCCTTGCTACCATGTGAAATTGAGAATTCATCCACCTGTACATCCACACAACAAGATCAGATTATATTCTGCTGGAAACACACTTCACTCAGCAGATTACAAACCAGTGGAGCAGTGGTGGAAAGTCTGTCGTTAAGTCAGAAAAAGAGTACTTAATAATAATTTTTACTCATGTGAATCCAAAAACACTTTGATCCATTTGAAAGAAGACAGAGTTTTAAACCAGGATTCATTCGTTTATAATCAGTGGTTCATCTGAGTGTGAAGATGAATTAGCTTCACTTTGACATTTAACAACAGTAACAGTCAACTCACCACAGAGTCTCCAGTTCACAGAGTGGACTCTGAAGAAAACCACACAGAACCTCCACTGATGAATCATGAAGATTGTTAGAGCTCAGGTCCAGTTGCCTCAGATGGGAGGGGTTGGACTTCAGAGCTGAGAACAGAGAAGAACAGCCGATCTCTGACAACCTGCAGTTCACCAACCTGAATAAAGAAGAAAAGACAAAGAGAAGAGTTCATTTTCTTGAATTTAGTGCTTTATTAAACATTTATTACCGATATTTAATATTACATTGGCTATGACTTAATACAATAAAATTAGACAAGATTATAATAGTTTACTTTAGATCAGTTTAGATCAGATGATTTTAGATCAGATTAGACTGGATCAGATAATTGTAGATTAAATCAGATTAGAATAGCAGTTGGTGTACTGTCCTCACAGTGCGTGCACTTGTGCAAAGCTAGACAGTCAGCTAACAGCTTGAAGTGCTTCCAAAAATCACAAGACTTGACCTTTCTTGTCTTTTACTGAAGTCTTCCTATTCTTTGTAAAACTGAAAATAGTTACAAAAAACAACAACATTTCAATTATGAGCAGAATACAACCGAAATACTCACAGATGAATGTTTTCCAAGGCATACGTGTCTAAACAATCTCCACAGTGTGAGTCAGTCACATATTTGTGTTCAACCACACAAAGAGTGGAAAAAAAAACATCAAAGGTGATCATATAGTGTGAGGAGCACTCTACATTTTTGTAGGCCCAAAGACCAGAGTGCTCACTTTAACTCAGATCCTCAACACTACAAAACATAGTACCGTACTCACTCTGAGGCATTTTCTTAAAGTCAATAAACATGTCAACTTAACTTAATACATTAAAGTTTAAAAAAATAAAAGCAGGCACAGTTGATGCAACAAGGCTGTTTATGAACTTGGTTGTTTCTGTGGATTAGATTAGATTAGACTGATCAGATTAGGAAAGATTAGAGTTCAGACAAGATTTGATCATCTTAGATAAAATTATAAAATATTCAGTTGGTTAGGACCTCTTCTATAGATTAGATCATATTCATTAGATTATAATAGTTATTAATTTTTTTTTAGATTAAATCATTTAGATTAGTTAAGATTATATAAAATGAGATTAGATTAGATTATTATAATTAGATAATTTTAATTTTTACTGAGACACTTAGAGATGGAGGTGAAATCAGGTCAGATCAGATCAGTTCAGTTCAGTTCCGTTCAGGTCAGGTCAGATCAGGTCAGTTTAGTTCAGATCAGATCAAATTATATTGTGCTGAAAACACACTTCACTCAGCAGATTAAAAACCAACAACCCAGTGGAGCAGTGGTGGAAAGTCTGTCATTAAGTCAGAAAAAGAGTCCATTTTTTTTTCATGTGAATCCAAAAACACTTTGATACATATGAGAGACGACAGAGTGGAAACAATCAGAGTTTAGAAACAGAGCCATTCATTTATAATCAGTGATTGTGTGAAGATGAACCAGGTTCACTTTGACATTTAACAACAGTAACAGTCAACTCACCACAGAGACTCCAGTTCACAGAGTGGACTCTGAAGAAAACCACACAGAGCCTCCACTGATGAATCATGAAGATTGTTAGAGCTCAGGTTCATTTTCCTCAGACGGGAGGGGTTGGACCTCAGAGCTGAGAACAGAGAAGAACAGCCGATCTCTGACAACCTGCATTTCCACAACCTGAATAAAGAAGAAAAGACAAAGAGAAAAGTTAATTTTCTTCAGCAGCTGGTATTTAATCCATGTTTTGTCCAAGAGGCTTCTTTAGTTCTAATTGACTGCTGGGCAGATTCTGGAATTTCACCTCTTAGAGGCTGAACCAGAAGGAGGATCTTTGGAGAGAACAAAGGAGGATGAACACGCCCAATATATATATACATATATATATACATATATATATATATATATATACATATATACATATATATATATACATATATATATATATACATATATACATATATATACGTTGTTTTCTTACATATATATGTAGACTTTGACATGTGTATTTGTGACATTAAATGACTAGTAGGTTTTGACTACTGGATGGAATAAAGTCTACATTCACTATCATACTTTTGCTGGCATTTGTGCAGAAGTGAATGTGTTTGGAGTCCTTAGTTAATGAGAGTCTTCAAAAAACTAAATAGAAGACAGGGAGCTTTGGCTGTCAGTCAGTGCAGTCTTTTCTGACACATCATGTCTTTCTCATTACTAGTCTTTGACAGGAGGATTTATTTAAAAGACTAAAAACCCCTGGTTCCTCCTGCTTAAATGTTTCTCCCTTTGCTTGAATTATTTATTAAAAACTTGTGGTTGCTTAAGGGTTGCAGGGTGATAAGGCACTATGGAATCTTTCAAAAATACCTTAGTAGGGAGAGAGAGTTGAGTTTTTATTTCATTTTCTTAGAGTTTGGTCTATATATATATATATAAATATAAAAAACTCTAATCTAGCTTTCTTAAGGCATGATGTGGGTGATATGGATATGGATTGCATAACTGCCTTCATAGCGTCCCAGAGTGGTGCAGTCTACTTTCCCATTATCATTTTCTTTCTTCTTTCTGTGCAAGTTAAGTTCCTTTTTAATCTCTTTAATCTCTTCAACAAATCCGAGGTCATTTAGTGTTCCAATATTAATTCTCCATGCTGTATTTATTTTTCTACTGTTCAATTGTATTGTTAAGTGAAGAATGTTATGGTCTGACAGATCTGCAACTCCTATCTTACACTCAGACACACTATTATCCGTGAAACAGGGTTCGCCCCCTTTAGCGCTTGGTACTTTCCCCTTGTTGAAATTAAAACAATGATAAATTAATTTAATATAAGAACCAAAACCTGAACAAAAAAGTCCACCAATCAGATTTTGTGGTCGAGCCAGAACACATGACTGAGCCAGAACACAGGACTGGGAGATTACAGCCCTAAAATAAATAAAACACAACTTTAGATTCTGTCTGGCTCAGAGAATCCTCTGGTACATTTCACATCTCACACACACACACACACACTCACCATTGTGTCACATCTCATTTTCTCACTTCACTCTGTCCAGTCAGACACCACTGCAATCTACAGTCAGAACCTACTGAGAGTTTCCCATTCTGGCCATTTTCCACAGCTACTGACTAATCCAATGTTTTAAATACTTATATTAACTTAGCAGCTGTTCCTGCATGCAGAGTCTAACGAGCCAGTGAGAGCAACGTCCCTACTGCCTTTTGTTCAATTTTTAGCAAGGACCTCAGTGCTTAGCATGTGCATTATTAGGAGGAAAAGTTCCTACCTGTTGCGTGCTTTGCACAGCCGGTCCAGTGGAGGAACCCAGCTACCCTGGTCTGCAGGCCCGAGCAATCATGTCGGGGTCACCAATTATATTGTAGAAAGAGATGTCTACGCATGACGCAGATCAGGACACACTTCTCCATCTCAGGGGGATTTATTGTATCAAAGGGTTTCTGACCATGGCAGGTCCAACAACGAATCTCATCTGAACATTCACCAACAAAAAATCCCACCTTCTGATACATGCTGATCCTCTTTATAGACACAGACAAACAAAAGATGTTACATAACATTTGGCTCACATTTGGCTAGTAACCTTAAATTAAATGTTAATTTACCCAGGTCAGCTTGACCTGTTCTTGCCTGTGCCTGTCTCCTGTCTTCCTGTTATTCTTGGCGTCTTCCTGTTATTCTTGGCGTCTTCCTGTTATTCTGAGTTGGCCCTAACATATTATTTTACCATATCTCTCCACCGCAACAGCAGGAGTTACAGTGTCACAGCTTCACCTTCAGGAGTCACTCCTTCCTGACGTCCGTCAGACTTTCTCTGTCAACAGCTGTATACAAACTCCTCAAACAGCAGAGGGGTGACCATCACTGGGTCCACACCCCTGTGTTTATGCCCACCCTTCAGTCCTCAGCAGTTGGACCGGACTTGTATCTACACTTGACTGATCAAGTCAAGTCAGCAGCTTCATCTGAGAGCCAGCTTCAGTCACCAACAAACAATCAACAGCACCAGAGCCTATGATGAAGCAGGAGCTTCAACATCTGACCCACTCAAGTCTGAAGAACTGAGTCAAACCAGGACAAGCACAGAGACCTGATTTAACTCATCACTGGGACAACATGACTTGAATGTCAATTAAATAAATGACTGGCGACTTCAGTCAGTGAACTCACGTCAGACTCTTCAGTCCGCAGTGTGGACTCTTCAGTCCAGAACACAGATGATCTACTACGGGATCCTCCAGGAAGTTGCTGCTCAAGTCCAGTTCTATCAGATGTGAGGGACTGGACTTTAGAGCTGAGGCCACAATTTCAGAGTCAGTCTCTGAGAGTTGACAAGACTTCAGTCTGTAATGGGAGAAATTATGAGATATGTCAGGATAAAATCAATTTTTATTAAAAAGAAAAAAGAGATGTGGTCATGTGATGAACATCTTCTGTTTCAGTTCAACATCAAACATCTGTGACTTTAGTTTTCTGCAGGAAACAGAGAACGTGGAGTCACACTGATGTTTCCATAAAGCCCTGAGTGTGTGCAACAGGCCTGGGTCCAGATTAGAATGGGTCTAATCTGGACCTGGATCAGAACCCACTCCACGGCTGACGCTAACATCTCCAGGGGCGAACACGCAACGATGGCGCAAGCATCATAGCGTGGGTTTGTCAGATAGCCAACATTTCATCTGCAATACATATCTAGCTTAGCGTTTAAATGTTAAAATGACTTGCCATAAGTACCAACATGTCTGCGGTGTGGACGTATTTCAATATATCTGAGAAATATAGAGATTTGACAAGCGTGTAATGCTGAAATTTCAAGAGGGAGCGAAAAGTCCACTCATAGAGTCACTCAGAACACGTTTCACTGGGATCTATTCGGCTCTGGGACGCGATGGACGTGGAGAACCCTCTTGGAGTCTGATATGTTCTGTGAGATCCTGCAAGAGAGTCCCTTAAATAATAATAATTAGTAGGCTATTCTGTTCTGACTTCCTTTGTGACTATCAGTTGATTTTATTTCTCTGCTGGACATTTTCCAAGTAATTATTTTGACAATATTCATTTATTATTTATTTATTATAAATTAATTGAATCACAGTGCCTTGATTTTATTGAGATTTAGTACACAGTCATAGCCATAAATGTAATGGTACTAATAATTGGCATAATCTTTTCTTTCAGTTTTCGGACTTGGTTTCCTCATTTTCAGTTTCCAGCCAAGAATTTTAATCAGCAGTGAAAAACTCCAAAAGTTGAGTCTTTAACTGCTGGAAAAGCAGCAGGAAAATCTCTGACTGTGTTGGATCATTAGTTCTATCACTGAGTCAGACAGACCTGTACCAACACAGGTACCTGCTGACATTCACTGCACTTGTCCTTTATGATCCATAAACTGAACACTGATTGACTAATCAATAGTGATTGAACACTAACTCACCGAGCCTTCCTGCAGTTCCTCACAGCTGGGATCAGTCTCCATTTTCCCTCCAGTGATGTGTTATACTGGTCCAGGTCCAACTGATCCAGAATCTCCTCTGACATCTGCAGCATGTAGGCCAGAGCTGAGCACTGGATCTCAGAGAGTTCCTGGTCTCTGTTCTTTGACTTTAGGAACTCCTGGATCTGCTGATAAACTGACTTATCCTTCAACTCTGTCAGACAGTGGAAGATGTTGATGCTTCTGTCTGGAGATACTCTGTACGTCTTCATGTGTTTCAGGTCTTCAAAGACCTTTGGAATGACTTCTGGACTGTAGTCTGTCTGACCCAGGAGGTCTCCTAAGATTCTCTGGTTGGACTCCAGACACAGACCATAAAGGAAGCGAACAAACAGGTCCAGGTGGCCACTTTTACTTTGGAGGGACTTCTCCATGGTTTTACTGAGTAACTGTTTCAGTGAAGAGTCATATGTACTGAAGTCAATGAAGTCCCGCAGTCCCTGTGTCCTCCTGTTGGTGTAGCAGTGGAACATGTAGACTGCAGCCAGAAACTCCTGAACACTCAGATGAACAAAGCAGTAGACTGTTTTCTTGAAGATCACACTCTCTTTTCTGAAGATCTCAGTACAAACTCCTGAGTAGACCATGACCTGGGAAAAATCCAGACCACATTGGTCCAGATCTTCTTGGTAGAACATGATGTTTCCTTTCTGCAGATGTTCAAATGCCAGCCTCCCCAGCTTCAGAAGAACATCTCTGTCAGCGTCTGTTAATTTCAACAGACCGGTCTCATGTCCTCCACTGTACTTGTTCTGGAAAAATTAGGCTGAAGATCTGATCTTTATTTCCACCAACAACAGAAATTGAAATGTTTTTAGTCTGCAGTGAAAAACTGATGCTGTTCTGCTTCATTTCTGTCATCAAAACATCAGAGAATAAAGATCTGGCTCTGAGTTTGTCCTGACCTCTTAAAGTCCCACTGAATTATGGGAAAGCCTTGGCATTTTAAAGCAGACACAGATCAGTTTCTATGGTTTCTCCTCAGTAATACAGGATCTTTCATTGTTGAACGCAGCCTGTTATTGATCTGATTGACACACTATTTTTGAGAAGAAGAGGAAAAGAACCCTGACAGAAAACTCTAAATATCAGTGGCTCAGACTCAAGAACTCAAGAACATTGATCCTTAAATCACCCAGCTGCAGAATGTAGTAAAGACCCAGGTGAACAAGCTCCTCTAACAAACCCAGACATGGAGAACCACCTGCTTTTTATCAGCAGTGTCTTCACTTAACCAGATCTCTACAGGTCACAGGAAGCTCACAAACAGTTCCAGTGTGTCTGAAGAGAAGATGTAAATAAACAAATCTACAAACCTGAATGCTGTGAGAGTCCAGCCTGAGGTGTGGA